TATCCAATATTTCTGTCATAACGATAAATTCGTGTTTCTTTCAAAAATTAAAATTAACGAAAATCAGTGCAGTCGATAACATCTGCAACAGTGTTTCTACTGAATAAATAATTATCGATTACTTTCATCCCCTAGCATCAACTACACAATATGGCGATTCGAGGGAAAATTTAGGTACAGTACAGGAGAAGCTGTATTTTTTAACAATAAGATCGATTTCAATTTTAATTAACATATTTTTACAACCGAAATGGAATGTTAATATTAAAGCGAATATGGTTGAATTGCATCCAACGAAAAATAAATCCTATTTATTGAACGATTTACTCGAACATACCTGGATGTAGATTCAGCAAGATCAAGTAAATAAACTGCAACATCTTCATCCGTTGACAGACCTAAGCGCTTCTTAAGAGAAAGCCAACGCTTGCCGTTCGTAAGACCAATGCGAACGCTTCGAAAGTGTTTCGTTTTCGACTCCGGTGCTATTCCAGGATTGCTGTTTTTATGATGTGAACTTCTCGTTAACCCCGACTCTCTCACATGCCTTGTACTTTTCTTCGGCATAACTACATCGTAGATCTGCCGGTATTAAAGCGGCGAACTTGAAGCTACCGCGGAGATCGCGCACCGATATTATCCTATCCTCTTTATGCTCACCGCCTGACCATTGCCGCCCACTCCGCCCGCTCCGCCCACCCTTGTCACTCAGCACCCCGACAACCACGCAACCACTCGCACCCACCTAATGTCCATTTCACTCCCTCTCTACTCTCTCGTTATTTTACTTTCCTTTTCCATACCCCATGTACCATGTACCCCGTGACCACGATCTTTCTCTTCTATCGATCTGTCGTCTACGCTTCATCACTATGTACGTTACATCTATGTATATGCACACTGCATCAACGAGCGTGCAAGCATGGCTTGCGAACAATATACTTGTAAATATACATATATGAGTCTATAATATGCATCTTACATACGGTATACATTGTATACTTACATACATAAGATACACAAGGATGGACGTCACAAATTTATGTTTTTACATATTAATTTAAAGGAACATCTTTTGTTCTTGTTCATTACATTAAACATGAAATCAGATGGGGTATTTCAAACTGGATAAAATGTAACATCTCTATAAGTGTTATCTTTCAAAAAATGACATGCATTCACAAGTTCTTGAAGATCTTTAATTCCTAAAATTTACAATTACCCAAAAAATTGTATCTTTTAGATAATTGAATCATAAATCTACGTTTATAATTGATTTAATTTTTGCATAATAATTAAATAAACTAACTCTAAATTATTTATTCTATCGAAATATCGATTAATTCGATATTTTTAAATCGAATCTCCCTATCGATTACAGTACTATCGATGTCATATTAAACTTCGATTAGTCGATAATATTGTCGAGTAGTTTCCGCCGTTTTCGAGCAGATGGCGCAGGGATCGAACTTCCGATCAGTGTATTGAGCATTAGTTCTCAGAAATATTTAATTCTGTAATTTGTATGCATTAGAATCATTGCCAGATGAAACATTTGATGGCGTCACACACACGCGTCGCGGCATCATCAAGCGACACTAAGCATTGTATTCTTCTTTCTTTACTACCTACTAAATACGTTTTATCTTATAAGGCTTCATGCAGCCATTTTTGCCCTATTTTTGGCAGCAGTGATCAATACGTTGGTAAGACTGTTACAAAACTTTTGTTTACGTAAATCCGTAGATGTAATACCATTGTCACGCTGTTACTGTCGTGCTTCACGTACGATCAGCTGCTAAGTTTGTGTATATGAAGGATTCCCGGTTTTATTTTTTGTGACATCGATGACACGTCATGATACATTTACCAAGAAATGTTTGACACATATATTGTATATATGATTTATTCGATCTTTCGAACTGGCTGGTAGTCAGTTAAAACGTACGATTGCCGTTTCATCTACATATAACCTAAATCATTTACAATGGCGTGGTTAGGAACAATAGCTAGTAACGTTTTCCGAAATATCATGTCTTCGGACGTATCGCCAAATCTTGTCCTAGAGGTTAAACCTGAAAATTATAGTAATCGACATATTCTTTGTCGGGAGGATGGCATTGTACTTTACGCTCCAGGAGAACGACATCTGGAAAAGTATGAGATCGTTCTTCATAGACCTTGTACAGAAACGTTACATCAAGCGTATAGGTATGTTCTTTCATATATACGTTACTTCTATATTAAAGACAGTGAATAACGTAAAAATTTATAAATTTATATATATATAGTTTATTTCGGTCCGAGGACAAATCACACGCAGAAGGACACTTTATCATTTACAAAGATAAGGTTCCAGTATTGGTTCAGATTTGTCGTGAGGTAATCAACGTTTATTTCATTATTTAAATATTTTTTTAAACAAAGAGGTAAAAAACAATAGAACAGATACTGATAATGATTTATTTTTGCAGATGTGTAACGTAAGTAAGATACAAAAATTATGCGACACCCTGGTACAACATCCCAGTTGGACATTGGCACACTTGGCAGCTCACTTTGCTCTTTGCAATGCTTTCGCCCATACCGCCGTGAACAGCCAGTTAAACAGCGGTGATATCGAGTCAGGAGTATCTCCGTTACAAGTCGCGGTGCAAAGTAATAATTTGCGCACGGTACAGATGCTGATAGAAGCGAAAAGTTCCCTGGAACATTTGGATAACAACGCGAATACCGTGTACCATTTCGCGGCAACGTCTACCAAAGAAATAATTCTAGCCCTCGGAGGAGATCTTCCAAACAGTCTGAACAGTCGAAACTGTAATGGTCACACGCCGTTGCATGTTGCTTGCCTGAATAATAAACCCGAATGCGTTAAAGCTCTTTTATTGATCGGGGCGGACGTAAACATTCCTGCATCCGAGGGTGAACCTTCTAGTCCAAGTTACGTGGGTGACTTTCTACACAGTAAACCGAACGTACTTCACGCCGAAGATATGAAGTTTGGTGGCACGCCGTTGCATTGGTCGTTGAGCAGAGAGGTGATCAATGCTCTGATCGAAAGTAATTGCGACATAGATGCATTAAATTTCGATGGTCGAACCGCCTTGCATATTATGGCGATGAGAAAACGTTTACCGTGCGTGGTGGCCCTCCTGAGTCATATGGCTTCCGTGAATATCGTCGACAAGGATGGTAACACTCCGTTGCATTTAGCAGTCTCAGAAGGTACGCTGGCCATCGTTCAAAGTCTGATAGGTTTCGGTGCGGACATCGACGCGAGGAATTGGAAGTCGGAAACGCCACGGCATCGAGTGAATATCGACAGTAGCGAGGGACAAAGGATTCTGTACGTATTGAACGCGGTGGGCGCTCAGCGTTGCCCACCGGAGATGACCAATTGCAATTTGGGGTGTAAGTATAGCGAGAGCTTTGACGGTATCGCTCCGCGACAAGCACCGAAGGTCCATCCACGGACCATCTTAGATCAAATGCTTCACGTATCTGGTATGGATAAAATGGCTACGCAAGGAAACAAACGAATCAAAGGCGGTCGACTTCTCTGTCTAGACGGAGGAGGGATTCGTGGTTTAGTTCTGGTACAAACGCTGTTGGAAATCGAATCGGTCCTCGGTAAACCCATCGTAGACTGTTTCGACTGGATCGCGGGCACTTCGACGGGTGGAATTCTGGCTCTTGGTCTCGCGTTAGGCAAGTCTCTGCGCGAATGTCAAGCGCTTTACTTTCGTATCAAGGAGGAAACTTTTGTGGGAATGCGACCGTACAATAGCGACGATTTAGAGAGAGTCTTGAAGGATAGTCTCGGAGCCGACACGGTAATGTCCGATATCGAAAAACCAAAGATAATGATCACGGGCGTGTTGGCCGATAAGAAGCCCGTCGATCTTTATTTATTCCGCAACTACGAATCTCCTAGTACGTTGTTAAAAATTCCAATATTGAGCTCGACATCCATTACGCTTTCGCCACCGAACGAACAATTAGTTTGGCACGTTGCACGCGCAACCGGCGCTGCTCCCACTTACTTTAAATCATTTGGAAAATTTCTCGACGGTGGATTGATAGCGAACAATCCAACGTTGGACGCCATGACCGAAATCCATGAGTACAATCTCGCGTTAAAGGCATCTGGTCGGGAACAAGAAGCGGTGCCCTTGTCTCTGGTGGTTTCTCTTGGCACCGGTCTTCCGCCAACTACTCAGCTGAGAGACATAGATACATTTTTACCGGAAAGTTTATGGGGTACTGCGAAGCTTGCCATGGGAATATCGATTCTGACGGACCTGCTGGTGGATCAAGCGACCGCTACCGATGGAAGGGTCGTCGATCGTGCTAGAAACTGGTGTTCCATGATCGGCGTGCCATATTATAGATTCAATCCTCAACTTTGCGAAGATGTTGCCATGGATGAGAAGAACGACGAGATACTGGCCGACATGATATGGATCGCGCAAGCGTTTATACACGCCAACAGAGATCAAATAAGAGAATTAGCTGCCGTGATAAATCGCGACGTTTACAGCGAAATGTGAAATTGTCTTCGAAGCTGATATTAATCCTTGTATACTACTTCTTTTTTTATTAACGAATTTTTAGGTTTTAGTTTTTTCCTTTTTTTTGAGGGAAGAAATTCATCGTAGGAAGAATTTGTTCGTCTGGTACGACAGTGGCGCACAATTTTAGCGTCTTAGTTTCGATTTTTATTTCTATCCTCTTATATTTACCGAACAGTGAATTATTGAAGAGGAAGGATAATCTGTTAGTAGTTGAATTGTAACAGATAGCAAGTAACAGCAAGTATACTAACTAAACACTTGTAGCTTTGTTGATCAAAGTATTCACCGTGCAGGTTATTTATTCCATCGTGTATTTATCCGATCGCCAAAGTGTTTATCCAAAAATAAATATAACCAATGGAAGAAAGAAAGAAGAAAATGTTACGAAGCGATTCAATCATTCCTGGTAGATCTCCTTTTCCTAGAAAGTTGCGAAAAGAAAATAAGGAGAAAATTCTACCTAGGTCCCATGTAGTAAGGCGGTTGGCTCATGGACGCGGAAATGTACGGATAAAACGAATGGCTCGATACCGGTTGCGTTTGATAATCGTTCTCCTCGTGGACGGTGTACCCTTCTGTACACGGTGCTGAGTAATATTGGCTGTGTAGACAGGCGTATGGTTTCGTCGGATTCGTAACATCGGCCGCGTATTTCAAGCTGTCCGGGTACTTTGGCAAATCGTAAGCTTTCGCCTGTAATTCCGAGTATTTTGGAATCGTTTCGTGATACTTTGGTACGGTGGACACGTCGTGGTATTTCACGGTCTCGTAACACTTCGACTCGACGTAGCTTTTGGCCACGCTCGCCTCGTATCTCGTACCGTCGTACGGTTTGTCCATCGGATGATCCATCGGGTACTTGGCCGAGTCGTTCGGCCAGGAAGACCTGGAGAGATCGTAGGTGGATTTGGTGTCGTGGTAACTCGGTCTGTCGTACGTTTTCATGCCGGTATCCGGTGGATAGAGACGAGGGTACGTGCAGTCGGACGAGTTGGCAGAGTCGAGCGAAGTGGCCGAAGACGATAGCGTAGTCCGATGCATCACGATGCCCATTTGCTCTTCCGGTTTCGGTTTCCGTCGCCGCGGTTGATACTGCAATTGTCGGGTATCGTTTTAATTTCGTACCTGTCTACCAGTCGAACCGTAGGAATGTAATACCTCAAATAATCTAGACGACAGTCACCTTGTAATGCGGATGTTGTTTTTTGTGCGCGTTCCTCAGTCTCTCGGCTTCCTCGATGAACGGTTGCTTCTCACCGTCGCTCAGTATTCTATTAGATCGACGCCGGTTAGTTTCCAATGCGACGGCTTATCGTAATCGAACGATAAGAAATTTTACAAGTACCTCCACAATTTTCCAAGCGTCTTTGATAACTCGGCATTGTGAAGCTGAGGGTATTGATCAGCCAACCTGCGTCTCGCCGCTTGGGCCCAAACCATGAACGCGTTCATCGGACGTTTCACGTGAGCGCTCCTTCGTCCTCCGGCGCGAGAAGTGACCGGAAGCAAGGTCCAATCGTAACCTGATAATTGAACAGACATTTAGGATCTTTCCAACGCGTTATCCGTATTCTCTCCTCTACGTCGCGCGTAGACAAACCGTACATACTCGAATCGTTAGCCAGAGATATGAAAGAGAGGAAACGGTAACAAGCAGTCCGGGTGCATACACTGTCACCGGATGTGTCGCGTAGCCTATCTCGCCACGGAATTAGATCGTAAAGGAACGGTGTAGATAAGACGCGACACCTGTATCCCCGTAAAGTCGGTCGCGTTCGAAAAAGGTTTACACGTAAAACGCGTACCCTTTCTCTGTCTCTCGAGTCGTTCTACTCTTCGATCGAAGATAGAATCGGGGAAAGAAAGTCGAATAAAGGTTAAAGGGAAGAAGGGTTCACGTGGCGAAGTGTCATCAGAAACGTAGGAAACAGGGAGACTAAGTTTCGTAGGTTCAGCTAATTACCATAGGGACACGGTTCACCGAAGCGGTCTCTCTGTCGGCTCTTTTAACGTCCGTTCGAGGTCCTCCGCGAAAGCTTTCTTCGATACCGAAAGCAGAATATTTTCCATGGAAACGCGGAAAGGGCTTGCACCCTAGAAAGCGACGGAAATAGAAAAAATTTCGCGCGAAAAATGACTTAGGGACAAACGAGTTCTGCTCCTCCTAGACGAGTCATTTAATCGCGCGTTGATGAAACCGGATGGAAGCCGGTTATGATGAAGAAATTTTCGTACCTTTGCGAAACGCGAACGATACCAACGGAGAAGGAGATTAAGAAAGGGAGGAGAAAGCGAGAGAGCGCAGTTGACAATAAGGGGTTGTAGCCCGTTGAATGAACCGGTGTGTTTCGGCGCGTTGCGTTCGTCAATGCCGATCTGTCGTCGACTCTTGCTACATTAACTTCCGTACAAATCTGCTCGTTAGCATCACGATAGTCTCGTTAACGAAAGAAGCTCGTTGAACGCATCGACAGCTTCAGTGGTCGATGAGTGACGGGAACGGTTGCTTGGTCGTCACGCGAATTCATCGATCCCGTTTCACCGTGAAATCGCATTCGCGTCGCCTGTTTAGCATCTACCAACAGGGCGAAACCGATGGACCAAGGGAAGCAGTCGGTTCGATTCGATCTTTTCTTTAACGCGGTACAAGGATGAAATTTTCGCGGGAGTAGATAAGATTTACGAGAGAAAGATAATAAAATATCAAAGGTTCGTCTTTCGAAACGTTCAGAGGACGTAAGTAAGTACGCGAAATTTCAACGAGACGCAGCCTCGTAAATCATGCCGAGCTCCCGTTACTTCTTCTCGGTCCCCACCTTTCGCCATATTCCCGTGGCTACGGTCGCGCGAGCCGATGTCTCGGATTTAATTTCGTACTAACATAATTAGCGTCGGTGGCAAACGTTCAGCGGTTTCGCTCTGTTCGCAGCACCTGCCACTCGAATCTTCCTCGAAATCGTCTTTCCGCGGTCCTACATTCCGCCTTCCCCTTTGCCACTCGCCTTTCCCTCCGTTCGGCTGGGGTATCGCGGGGATAAATCTACGAAGCCAGCCACCGAAGCCGACTTTCGGCGCCAATTAAAGTGTCCTTCTTGGACGCGTGATTCGAGCAACACGTACAATCGAGAGAACCGAGAAAACCGAGATAGGAAATCCTTTACGCTCTTTATCTTTGCCCTTTCATCGCTTCGCTTCGATGCGTTGCTCTCTCTTCTCCCCTTTATCTGCGATAGAGATTCGTAAATGCAACGTGCAGAAGTGCAGGCAAACAGCACGATTTATCGAATCTTACGAAACGGAGAGACAGAGAGAGAGAGAAAGCTTAGCAAACCTTGAAGTAGTTTGCCCACTGCGTCGTCCAGCGAGTTGCTTGAACCGCTGCATTGCTCGCCGCTCGATGGTCCAGCCTCCGTTTCCGTCGCCGACGGTATACCATTAGCGTGACGAGTTTCCATCTCGATGGATGATCCTTTGGTTGATCACTGATCGTTGATCGCGCACATTCACCAGCCGATCATCAAGGTTCTTTATCCTGCACGCGGGTTTGAGAGGATTCTCAAGCGACTGTTACCGAAATGTAAACCCGCACTTCACGGTTAACGATTCGAACGATTCGCGGGGAAGAAGATAGAATGGTATTCGATCTCGATCTCGCCGCTAGACTTGGTCCACCTTCGAAGACGAAGACACGGCCGCGCGCGGAAACTCCGATGGCTGACTGACTAGAAGAGACACGGGGACGCGGATCGGTGGAGTCTGCGGTGGTTCGTTCGGAGAACAAGCAGGCAGGTTGGTCCACGAAAGAGGCAGAAACGGCGAGCACGCGTCTGGCACACGCACCGAACGTTGGATGGTAGATCGCGGAGGCGGTTCCGTGGACCACCTCTGCGTTTGGTGGGGGGTATCTAGGATCTTGTCCCTTTTCCGTTCTTATTCTCGTCTTGGCTCGATCTACCGGGATATCCTTGGCACCTTTGTCCTTTTTCGTGGTCGGTGATCGCTTCGTTTTCCTAAACGCGATAAAGATTCGGATGATCGAACACACTGGTTTCCCTAGAAATTAAAGTTTCCAAATTCTAACGAGATCCCAATCTTTCAGGTTTTTCATTGCGATACCGAGAGGAAAAGGGGTAAGAAGAGAGGCAAACGGTGCTGAAGAAATAGTGCAACAAGGATGAAGAGGAGGAGAAAGAGATGGAGGAGGCAGTGCTCCTTTTTATGTCTACGTCGCGCGACTGCACACGAATCACGGGGTTGACAGTCTCCGTCTTTCTGTCGAGCCTAATTATACAACGAATTTAATGAATGAGTGAGCTAGCAAATACAGTGGCCCATACATGAGCATATATAAACCACGGTCAATGCCGTGTGGCGGCTTTTGTGAGAGATCAAAGGGGGCATCTTGCTCGCACTTTACGGGATTAACGTGCTGGTAGCGCGTAAACGCGTACTCGGCCTCTCGGAAACGCTCGAGACACTTGGACGGATTACGGATCGCTACGTTTTTATCACAGCCCCGACGCGAGTCTATCGCGAAGGGAAATCCTCTTGCTGTCCAACGAGCGAACCCCTTTTTCCATCGCGTCCAACAACCTTGAGAGCGCGTAAACCCCTGCTCGAACCCTTTTAACTTTCCTTCTCCTTCGCCTCGCCTCGCCACGGCTCGGAATATTTTTTTCTCCAACATTGTTGCATCGATCGTTCCTCGATCCGTTGTTTCCCGCACACGCGGCCGGCATTACGCGCTGCAACCGAATCGCGATTCAAATTTAGCCGACCGCGAACAATAATATTGATTTCAGCAAGCCGGAATTTTGCTCTTCCTGGGATAAACATCCCGGAGCGCACGTGGCGTCAATATGTGCCTTCGTTCTCGGTATACGCGAACGAGAATTGGTTTCAGGGCCGCTCACGCTCGGGAAACGCACGCTCCCGGGTCGCCTACGCTCTTCAACTTCCGCGAACAAGGACTCTACCGTATCCTTTTCTCGGGAAACTAAACAAACTGGTGCATACGAACGATCGTAGGACTTCCTTTGGAGAGTTTCTACATAAAATAAGATGGCGATAACGAGAATGCCGTTGAGAATCGAAGGACAGATATGTAGGTATACTTGTGTATATACGTGGAGGCAGAAGAGATCGAGCAGCGTGACAGATACGAAATAATGATTTCACCAATTCCCGGGGGTCCTGCGTCGGATCTCTGTCGGACACTTGAAAGGATACTTGCTGGTCAGGAGGGATCGTGGCTACGAACGGACGGGTAAGGGTTACCTAAGGAAAGAGGATGGGGACAGGGGGGGAAAAGAGAGAAGATAGCCGTGGAGAGGCATCGAGTACTGGACACACGTAGCCCCCCGGGTGGCGAGCACCGCAATTCTCGGACCCCCAACGGTGATACCAGCTAGACTACATTGTGCACTGTCATCGAGCCGGCACGATGTCATCGCGTACCGCGTGCGCTAGCCTTCGGACACGCTGCGTATCGCGCGTCGCATTCGGAGTTCTCTCCTCGAGGATACCGAGGAACCGGCTGTCAAATAAACAAACTCGATCTTCGTACTCTACGCTCGAGTCGATTCGACTGCACGTTCCTCGAGTGCAAAAGACCACCTCCGTCCACTTCGGGAACCCGTGGACGAGTGCAACCATCGAGGCGTTCGGACTTGGTGCGTCGCCAGGAAAATTGCACGCTCCTCCTTGTGACGTTGTTATTGCTAGCGACTGACCGACCAATCGCCGGTCCTGCGTGGGTGGAAGGAAGAGAAGGCGAGCCAGGACAAAGAGGGATAGACGGATAGGAGGAGAGAGAGAGAACGGGCGAGAAAGAGGGAGCGAGAGAGAAGGAGAAAAGAAAGGAGAGATAGGTGGAGCGAGAAGAAACCCGATTGGTCTTACTTCAGGAGGATACGTCGCGTAGCCATAGAGACTCCCGTCGACGAGGAGAAACGACTTTGGAATAAATGATAGCACGGGGAAGGGATCCCTGGAGGGGTACTGATAATCGTAGGTAGAAGAGAAATCAAACGAACTCGATCGTTGCTCTGATTCTGTCATTTCCTCTTTTACAGAAGGACCAGAAAGAAGAGAATTCGGAAATTTTCAACAACTCAAAGGAGATTTCATTTCGACCTTGATTCTAAGTTGGATCCAAAGAAAGGGTGTTTGTCATCCATTCGATTCAGCGAATTTCTACGTCTGAATTTCTGCCGAATTTCGCGGGCGTTCGTAAGAAGCGCGTTGAATTTCCTCGGATCGAGAGTGGAGGAGCGAGCAGCAGCCAAGCGTCCGTAAGTACATCGGTAGTCCCTTTCCCCTCGTATCTCGTACCATCGACGGTGGGCACGATCGCGAAGCAACAAGTGTTACCAGCTCTTCGGGATCGCCCCGCCCCCAACTAGCAGCCGCTGTGTCGGAGCAATCGGTGGAAACTGCCCTGAGGCGATGCAACCACCTCACTCGAGCGCCGATCGCGCAAGCAACTAGGAATCCTCGTCCGACACCGGCTCCTCTCGCGCGCCTCCAGCATTCTCGACTTTGCTGGAAAAACGAACGAGAACGCGATGTTTTCGGTGATCTTGTGCAGCCAAAACGCGAGCTTTCCACAGTGATTTCTTGCTTACCCTCGCGTACACGTCGATCGTCGAAGTGACAGCAATCGATTCTCCGTGATAGATCTTTGTCGAACGCGTTTTCAAAAGTTTTTGTATCTCGCGCGATAGATCATCGTCGATTGTGCGCTACTCCAGTGAGTATTCCGCGAAAAACTCGAAACGGGGACATTGAGAAGAAAGTGAAATAACCGTGAGGGAAAGTGGTAACCGAAGGTGGTTCGTTCGATCGAAAATTCATCGCCCTGTCGGGTCAAGTTTCGAGGTGATCGACGAAGAAAGAGATCCAAGTATCCGTTGCCCGTTTATTCGCCTGTTCTGGAACGTCGATGGTGCCGTGGAGAGTGGCCGATAGTGGAAGCGAAGGAAAAGAGAGCAAAACGGGTCGATGCACAAAGAGGAGCGCAGATTAGAATTGCCGTAGCCGTTGAGTCACGACGAAGAAAAAGAATTTGCGCGAAGATAGAGACCGAGACCTCAACGCGTTCCCGACGGATCAACACGATGCTCCTCTCGTTCGTTGCGTTTCCCGCACGCCGTAATCGAGTGCAAAATTAATTAAACGTGACAAACGTGCGCGTCGATAACAGTGAATATCGGCGAGGGAAGACGAGACAAGAAACGAAGAAACGAGCGGAAAATCGCGGACGCGGTTCGAGCAGGGCCGCGCGTAACGGAAGTGACGTTCTATCGCGATAAAATGGTCATTCCAATTAGTCGATGAACCGTTCTTCGGTAACGTGCGCGTCCTCCGAATCGATAAATCCGTCGATTCCTTCGTCCCCTATCGTTCCCGTTATTTTTCTCTTGACCGGAACGAAAGCGAAAGATGAACGACGTCATGGGAGAGGCATCCGGTTCGATTTCGTCGAGCAATGGTAGCGACGGTAACTGCGGTGCCGGCTCCAGCAACGGTAACACCAGCAACAACAATAACAACAACAATAACGGTAACAACGTGAAAGCGTCGACGATCGGCGCTAACGGAGGCGAGAGGATCAGCGCGGCGGTCACCAAAGTTCTTCAGGGATACGACTGGACTCTGGTACCTGTTGCTACCAAGTGAGTTTCCCGTTCAATATTTCTCACACGTTTAATTCGCGTTTCCTTCGCGGCAGCTGAAAGGGGCACATTTTCGCGTTTGCGTAACCACGATATTAGCAGGAATTCGCGCGAGAAAGTTGCCCCCAGGGCGTTTTAGGTGCGACGAGAAAGATGGGAAAAGAGGGAAGAAAAAGGTAAAGGAAGAAGGAGCAGAGAGAGCGAGGCAAGCGGAGAATGGAAGAAGAGAAGAAGAAGGGTATAAGCTTTAAAAATACGTAACGCTAACTTAATTATGACGCACTCGTTTCCTCGGCTTGGGAAACGACGACTCGTGGAAAAATGTCCTCGGTTGCCAATTAACGCAAATTAGCTAATTAATGTCCGATCTGGTGGGCTGTCTTCCTCTCTATTTCTGTCGATGGATCGGCATTCGTGAGAAGCAGAGAAGATCGCAAAGGACGAGCGATACCAGAGGAACGGAGGTTTTTTCGTTCGCCTATCGAAGAAGGGGACGAATTAATGGCCGTCCCGTTGCGCCATGCCGACGATCGTTACGATTCGATAAAATCGAATCACGCGCTCCAAGAACGTGACGCAATCATTTCCGATGGCGCAGCGACGATTTACCATTCGTTCGCGAATATCAATAGCAATATCGATACGCGGAAGCCTCGTGGAAACTCGAACGAACGTGTACGAACGGCTTGGCGAGAATTTCCCGGTCGCGGCTCGTTCGGGAACGTGGAAAACGGTTGGAGCGTGCATCGCAATGCGGCGCGGCTTATCGCTCGCTAACCCTCAATTATACGGGGTTATCTCGGGGTAGCTAAAGGGTACGATGTTTATTTCCGACGGATACGGGCCGATAAAATCGACTAGTTTTAATTCCCATGAAATCCATGAGAATACACCCTGACCGTTGCGTATTTCCCAGACTGTTTATCCAACGGTAAGTCCACGTCGCACGATTTCTTTTATTCGAGATCCGAGGGAGCAACTGGTCGCGGTGGTTCCTCGCGATTGCAACGATGATGTTGGGAAATAATGAGACGGATGCGTAGCTGCCACGCCTACGCCGTGTCTGTTCGACCGTCTAAACGAGGTGTAAAGACTGAAAGATTTTTTGCGTATCTAGGTAAACCGCGCGTACACCGCAGTGACTCGCGACTGCCGTGAAAACCCTTGTTAGTGAGCCCGCGCTAATTACCAACGGCTCCTCACCGGTTGGGTTTACACACGGATTTAACGCCCCTCTTATTTCAAAGAGGCCGAAATACGTGCGAGCCTGTTTTTCTCGAATTCTTGGCCGCTTTTATTCGACGTCGTTTCGGAACGGTTCGTCACGGAGCGGAGTTGGGCTTCTTAGCTAGATGGTGGTTGCCACGAGGTCCTCGAGCGAGGATCGATTAATCCCAGAAAGAAAACATCACGAGGAAGAGGAGTAGGAGGGTGGAGGCTTGTACGGCAATCACGTCAGTCACGTCGATTCCCGACTGGACGTGGCAACGGTTTTATGAAGTCATCTTCTAAGAAAGAAAGGGATACGTCCATTCCTGCTCGTCACCCGTTGGCAGCGGCAGTGTTATTTTAAGGTCGATTTTAAGCGTGCCGCGTTCGCCCGGATGACCCAGGGGTAGCTATACGCACGGCTACAAAACTACGCGAACGCATCCGAGTGTCTGGTTATTTTCTTCTGCAAGTCACTCGATTTCTCGTGTCCGATCCTTTCCCGGATTCTCGATCTAGCATCGTCTTTCGTCCCTTTCGCTGCTGCACCCTTTCGAAATCGTACGCTTCCGTCGTCGTTGTCGTCGTCGACGGCGGCTTCGCATGCGTTCGAAACGAACAATCGTTTCCAATGAAGATAATGTCCTCGAATTGCAGGGGTTCCGGCGACAAAAGAGCGGCGCACGTGAAAAGGCCGATGAACGCGTTTATGGTATGGGCCCAGGCTGCCAGACGAATACTCGCCGACCAGTATCCTCAACTTCACAACGCGGAGCTGTCCAAGACCTTAGGGAAACTTTGGCGGTGAGTGGTTGCAATGTATATTTGTCTACCTTTCTTGCGATTTTTCCGAACAACTTCGCCTCCAGCTGGAGGCGATCCACGCGACCACTTGTTTGTTCGGTCTATTTTTACAAGCAATTTCGCGAGCAGTCTTTTTTACACGACATAACACACGTACACAAATATACGCCAAGTGCGCGTGTAAGCACGGAAATCGAACACGTTTTAACCACGTGGCGCCGAGACTGCACGTGGTACGACCGACCTCGGTTGACAACCGCGCAGCCTTTATTTCTCGACGTTGGCTGTCACTGGTGAAAATCGTTTCGTAGTTCATTTAGAGATCCTTGGCGGAAACGCTTCGTACGATCCGGTCGGTCGACGAACGCGTTGCGGTGCTTTCACAGAGACGAGTACGTATTCGAGATATTCGCGTACGCGACGTCGGAGGACGGATATTCCGTTTCTCGATCGAGACTCTAACGAGGTGCCCCGGTGGGTGCCGTGAGCGAGGATCACAGAACGCCGCCCCGACCGGCACCCCCGCGGTGAATCATTTTACGATACCGCTCGATCGCGATTCCGATCAACGATAGCCTCGCGCGATTATCGTTTAACGTCAAAATAGAGCTGACTCGCGAAGCCTAACTTTCGTTCCTTTTCTAAACCGTGCTTTCCGTCGATTTCTCGTTAGAACAAGCCACGTCGTATGGAAACGCAGGCGCTCGTGTTCGATTTTTAAAGCGGTAATTATTTAGCACCTTTCGGAATGGACCCTCGGGGATATTAGCACGGGCTACCGAAAGTAAAGAAAGCGTTCCCCGTTGGGGCGCGTGACGTTGCCTCTACCAGAAACGGAGCGGCGCTGCTTCATTTTTTCGTGTTCTTTCGAACAATCGCGTGAAAGGGAAATAAGTTCTCTCGGATCATTTGCGAGAAAAAAGTAATCGCGAGTCGTAGATATCGGCGTCGATATCTCCGAGGAACCAGGTGTATGTAAGCTTGGGAAATAAATCTTGTCCTCTTTCTTCCGGCTCGAAAGGTATCGCGCGTTCGGATATTAGACGCGATGTTTGTCGACGAAACGAAAACGAAAGATATATCCCCGGTTCATCGTTGGCGCGTGCTAACAGCTGCCGGCCGGTTCCCCGCTTCGGATAAAGGGCCTCCCCGAGGATCACAATAAACGCCTTGTCCTCGTCAGGTGAATTTTTCCGAACCTGCCCGTCCCTTCGTCGTCTCGCGTCACCTCCTCTTACCCCGTCTCGTCCCCTGCGTGCAAATAACGCTCGTGACGAACAGGTAAATGCGCGTTATCCGACGGAAGCAGAAAGACGCGCAACGTCCCTCCCCCGATAAAACGAGCGGTAGACTTTGCGTGGTCGCGACGCCTTACCGCCTGCCCTCGAGTAAATTAGCTGACCCTGCGTTGCATCTGGCGAAGAAAAAGAGAGAGGCTGACATGGTCCGCTATCGTCGACGTCGTCGTCGAACCCTACCGTCCGAAAAAACTTTCAGGCGCAAAGTCCATTGACCAGATGGGCTGTCTTTCCTCTCTTCTTTTCTTCGGCTCGTTCTCAGCGACACTGTCGCGTTCGAGGTTGCTCCGTTACGTTTCGTTTCGGAGTTAAGGTGACGCGACGTTTTAGCCAGGCGAAAAAGGAAAACGGCGCGAAACGATAAGGGACCAGAGACGGAGAGTAGAATTATTACCGGAATCGTGGAGAAGCGATCTCGCGGCCAACACCGGAAAAGCTTATCGGTCCTGGGATTTTACGAGCCCAGTGGGAACATAAACACGAGGAATTAAAGGCTAACAGGGGACGGGAGGCGCATGTACATATACCGAGTCGAAGGAGAGAACCGCTCCGACGTGACGCGGCGAACGAGCTGCGCCCTTAAGACTCTTTACGCGGCGAGAAACACTAACCAGACCTTCCGACTTGCACTCGTCGAGTGTATCGCCGCAGATACGTCGATGGAAATGTTCTCGTTTCACGCGGTCGCGTGTGAACACCTCCGGATCGATCCCCTTTTTTTAATCCGTTCGTTCGCAATCCGCATTCGTAGATTGCTGTCGGACAACGACAAGAAACCGTTCATCGAGGAGGCGGATCGTCTTCGCGTGATCCACAAGCGCGAGCATCCGGATTATAAGTATCAGCCCCGACGGCGGAATCAGAATCGAACGGCGGGCAGGGAGAGTTCGCCATCGAGGAATCAAAGCAACGCGAGCTTCAACGTGTCCAGGTCGTTGAAGCAGGAGGACGCGAGTCCGAGGGGCGCGCAAGGGCCTAATTCGCCTCAAAGCGGGATCAGCCTGTCCCCTCCGACCACTCCGAATCACGGACTTTCACCGCCGACTCCTCCCACCACTCCCCGTGGTCAACACTACGCGAATCAGGTAATTGTCCGTCGACCAATCTCGCCGCTGCCCGTGCTCGATCGTTTTTCTGGAAACTTTCGGCCGGATGCGAGATTGCGCGAGGAACGCGTTTGTCGGTCGGTTCACCATCGCGAAGCGACGCGATTTCTTTGCGCGCAGGCCGCCCATCAGCCGCAACAACAGAACAACAACGTCTACCAACAGCAGCAACAGGATCTCGCGATCGCATCCTCCAGCGAGTCTCCGCATCAGCATCATCAGCAACAGCAGCAACAGCAATCAAACGTCGATTTTCGGTACATAGATGTTGGCGAGGGGCTACCGATCGAAGAGGGTCAATTGAACGGGCTCGGATCTCTTGGCGGGGTCGGTCTAAATATTTCGTTGAACCCTCAGGAATGCGAGGTCGAGAGCAGCGAGCTGGACCAGTACCTCCGACCTCAAGTGCCATCGATGCACGTGCCTCCTTCGGCGAGCACCGCGTCTCAGTGGATTTTCAACAGGTAATTCGATGCTCGCGAACGTTTGAATATAATAAAATTCGACTTTTCACTAAAAAGACTGCTGGCTTTTCGCAGATACGACGAGGAAATCGAGAGGCCGAACAAACGACATTGCTCGGAGCAGACGATCGCCGAGGCTTCTTGGGAAGACAGACCGCCACAGGAGATAGTCCGTTACCACGAACTGCAACCACCCCTTCCTCCCATGCAATACATATCCTCTTCTCACAATCCTCACTACTCGCACGCGACCACGCAGATGAGCCATCCCCACGTGTCTCCATCGTACGCGCAGTACCAACGTTACGTACCTGGTATCGAGAGTTGGCCTCACTACATGTAGGAACGAGAAGACAAAGTTTAATGCAGCGTACGGTTCAGAGCTCGTTTTCAAACGAACGGTGATTAAAACGATATCGATGCTCGATCGTTCGATGCTTGGAGAACGAGCGACGGATAGGTTCGTGGCGTGTACGGCGCAGCTCACAGACACTCACGATTCTTACTCCATGACATCATTCCATGACAGCTGGCCATTCCAAAGCGCAGAATTTCAAGTTAAACAAACCGAGACCGCTCGATACCACCGTGTCTCGCGCCGATCCGAACGTCTAATAAAGTATGCATAAGACAGCAATTATAAACTGGACGTTGGAGAGCGGTTGGTTCGTCGGACGAAACTGGCGTACTGAACGCTCTTGAAATAAATTCGCGATGCGAGACGTTCTCCGCTTTCTTCGAGGTTTCTTCTTCGAATCTGTTAGGAGGAATACGGTGGTAAGCGGTATAGCGATCATTTCTTCCCTCGAAGCTTGTGATCTAACTTGGCTATTTCTATTATTACCATTATTCCTTTATTCGACAATTATTATTATTTTATTATCTATTATTATTATTATTATTACTATTGTTGACGAAAGGAGAGCAAAGAGGCGAGCGTACAGCAAGCAACGAATCGACGGCCATCGAAGCACGCCAAGCGTCGTCGCGTAACGATCGCCTGAAATTATTCCTCGTTACAATCCGACGCTCGTGCCTTTGTACTTAGATATTTATTGCGCCGCCTGTAACGTGTAGATCGCCGCGTTCACGCGACACCGTTCCGATGCTAATTTAACGACACCGTTTATTGTATACTAAGGTTTATAGGAATAAACGAAGCGTTTCCAAATGACACCCAGCTTTCTTCTCGCCCTCTTCGTTGCGTCCTCGCAAAGATTTCGGTCGTCGGATCGCCGCCGGAGCGTCGCGCCGTCGGACGATCAAGCAACGGTAAGTAAATGTACATACTACGTATTCCTTTTTGTTTTTTTTTTTTTTTTCGATTTTGTGTGCGTCTACGAATGATTTAATTAAGTGAGAAAAACTCGGACTGGCGTTTAAATATTTAACGGTGAACCAGCAAGCAGAAGGACCGCGACCGTTCGAACGGACGAATGGACCGTTCCAAGTTTCCGAGAGCAAACACTCTTATCGGGACGCTCGTCCAACGAGGAACGTGGGAATATGTCGCGACTTTTATGCCACTTATCCGCGTCTCGAGATTAAACCTCGTCGAGGACTCCGGCTGTTCCTGTTCTCGCGCTGGATCGCGCGTGTGCAACGAGCCTCTTAGAAACCTTCGATCTCGACGATTTCCTAAAATTTCGAGCCGAGAATTGGAACAATCCTTTCGACACGCGCGACCGACACGAAAAGTGTAGCCTTCCGGATAGAAATAACCGATGCCGTCATCGTGCGTCGTATTTTCATCGTCGACAGTGGTTTCGTTTCGACTTAGGAAAAAAAGAAAAAAAAAACGAACGAATGGGAAAGGAAAAAGTTGACGAGAGTCAGCGTTTCGTCGCGAGAACCTATCGTTCCTGTCGCAGCTGTATTTCTTTTTCAGCGACTCGACGTCGATCGAGAGATCTCGATGGAACGCGTTTCGTTTCGATTCCGTGCCAGACTCGTAGGGTAGAACCACACATTTTTGACGAAAAAAAAATAAAAATGATTCCGTGAAACGGCTAGATTTTTGACCCCGGAAACGATCGAGCCTCTCGTCGACTTTTGCTTTACAATAGATTTCATTGAGAAAAGAAGGGCGCATCTTTATCTGACTGGCCCGTTTCAGGGCGATACACCTATTATCGCGGTCGATTTCCAACATCCTTCCGCGAACCATTCCGAGAAGAAAAAAATGTCGACATCTCCTTGAGTGGTCCGGATACGAATTCACGGACAAAGCAGCATTCAGTTATAAATTATCGGGCCTCGCGATATAATTAATTTCCTCTCCGCTCCGTATCCTCGCGTTAATCACCGGCACGCTTTTAATCTTGGAATTCATAAATATATAGGTCTCGGAGCGAATTCTCGCAAAAGCAGGAAGCAATCTCGTGACCTTTCCCATTTTTTTCTCTCGTTCGATGGTTCGTTGATCCGTCGGGAAAATAGTTGAAAATCGTAGTTCTTCTTACATTTCTTTCTGTGTACGATGTAAATATTTGGCCGGGGAACGGGGTGAGTAGATTGGATCGATAAATTTCGACAGTTCGAGCATTATTCGGTGCGGGGGAATGCCGCGCGCGACACGGGTTACAAAGGGTCGTAAATCCTTACGCAGCTGCCCTGATTCTACTATTATCGCTCGGTTATATCTTCCTCCGCTATCCATTCATCGGAATCTCGACGCGAGCCACGCGAGACTCGAATCGCTGTCCTCCTCCTAAATATCTATCGAGCACCGTGTTTTCTTGCTGCTGTTACAGACTCTGCTCGTACCGACTTCTTTTACGTTCTAAGAATAAAATAGATCTTCGGGTCGTGCCAGCGAATCGGGCAGGCTAAATCATTATCGGAATTCCGAGAAATCTAGCCCGCTTCCAATTAGCGGACCGATTAGCCTCCGTTTAATTTGCTTGCCCCTTATCTCTTAAACGTTCAGCAATCGAGGGAAATCGATTCTCCTCCGGTTTGTCGGAGAACAGGGGTCGGCGACGAGAAATCTAATCGATTGGTACACACGAAGCGCGGAGCTAGCCACGTGTGAATTTCACCAAGGCTGCATACCCATACACGAGGTACGGGAATTCGTTCAGAAACACCGGTGGCCACGATTCAATAACAAATCAAACATCCGTGAGATTTTATCGTTGCGTTACCATGGTAATTATGCGACAGATATCGATAAACACCTCCTGGTTGATAGTTTTATTTCCAACTCCTATCCGTATCGAAGGTAGTTTACCGTAAGTCGCGACGTACGAATTAAGCACCATCGACGACTTAAATCTCCGGATTTATTTATTCCAAAATTAAATATATATTTCAATTAATAAATGTCTTATCAAGAGTACATAATGTGCACGAAAGCGTTCTTAACATCTTTCGAAATTTGTAACATCTGTTTGTCTACCATTTTGAAATTTTGTAACTAAGGATTGGTGTATGAAATGTGTGCATGGAACGCCTATGAATTCGGCCCCTGGAACTGCTCCTGGTAATAGGATAATAGAATACGCAAGGAGATGGCGCCATTCCATGGATGGCATGGTGGGAGAACCTACGAATCTGAACCTGCTCCTGGTAATAGGGTAGCAGAACGCGCGAGGAGGTCGCGCTCATTGGTCGCGGAGTTCCCCGCCCAGTCAGCGCAACGGATAGAGGGAGTGGCGTAGTGGGGGGAGTTACGGCTCCGCAACTTGCTTCTAGTAATGGGATAGCAAAACATGGCAGGAGGTCGACCGGCATATACGTGTAAGTTATACGGGTTACAAAATAATTAATTGCAAGCTCAATATTGCAAAGAAACGAACTTTTAAGACCGATTCTTGAAGAGTAATGTCTACGGAATATTTCAATACTATTTTTGCATACATTTGAGTTGTAATTATTTAGTTATTAGCAATTACTTTAGTACGCAATTACGTACATGAAGCACTTGTTGAATTTTCATTAATTTTATTGTGTACTGTATTCATTTATAGCATTTTACGATTGTAACGTGAAGTGCAAGGTTGAAACTATATTTTCTAATGATTTTTAGTAACATTTAGTGAGTTAGTACTTATTAAATATTAAATATTCTTTCGACTGTAATTCCGCCTTATGTTTATACATACGGGAACTGCGTATTCCCAATCTTTTATTAATTTCTCAAGTTTGCAAATTATTTTCTTAACTTTTAAGGCTGCAATATAAAGAATAGGGTTCCTATAATTGTTTAATATGAATGTTATAAACATTCGTTCTCTTAATATTAAACAATTATTACTTTTCGTGGCAAAGAATTTCAACACTCTGTTGTACTATTCAAAGAACTTTATTTATTCATTTTACAATAATTTAGTACAATCGATTGACTTTCATAATTGTAGATAGTAGTATAAAGTTCAGGTAATCTATACATACTTAAATTATATACATTGACAACGCAGATGTATTGCAATTTTGATTTTTTATTGTTATGTTTTTACAACGTCGTAAAATAATTACATTATAAGGGACTTCCATTTTCTATCGGTCAACATTTAGGATAACATTTGCTGAAATTGCTCGCCTGGTAGCAGGATAATAGGATAGCCAAGAAAGTGGCACAATTTTTGCCACCAATTTTAGTTATGTACTCCTAATACCTCCGCTCGCCAGAAATGAGAAACGCATATAGTAAAGAGTAAACCATCAATTATGCATTTATCAGCAATGAAACGTGAACTTTCACGATTAATTCTCGAAAAATAATGTCTGCAGAGTTTTCTAATACCACGTTTGCGCAGATTTCATTTATAATCACTTAGTTATTAGCAATTATTGTGGTAGTTGCACACTCTGCATTGAACACCCGTTGGTATTTCATTGATTCTATCGTACGTTGTAATAATTCACAATAATTTATGATTGAAACACAAAGAGGAAAGTTCAAATTACATTCCTTTATAATGTTTGATAAGATTTATTAAGCAGTAGATTACTACTAGTGCTTAATAAATTATGAGTAACGACGTCTGTATGCTGACGCCATTTTCTTCAATGATGGTAACTAGTTATCGACCGAGGGTTGACGGAAGATTTATCATAAATAGGTAGCGTGGCAATTCGGTATTAGATCGCTGATATTAAATTGTTTTATCACGATCTCATCTATTATTATTTAATGAAAAACGCAGTAAACTATTTAATTAAGAAAATTTCTTGTAATCATTTGAAAAAGCGGTGTCCATCAAGTTCTTCCGTCTGTTCATAGATGGTCACACTTTTTACGGCTAGTGAATCGGTAACTAATGAAAAATAAAAATAAATTTTTAATTCTTATATCAGAAATATTGTAAATAAATGATAAACAAGCAAAGATACAAACGTTATTCGCTGCAAGTTGCAGAGATAAATGAAGGAAATGTCATGATGATAAGAATGAAGTCTCAGATCCTCTCGCTCCGAACGTCGGAAAAAGACTGACAGCTAAAATGATCGGCTTTCACTTGATAAACTCGGACTTTTCTTCCGCCCGGACTTTTCTCCTCTCTTCCATAGAGTACCATTTCTCACAGATCTGTAATTAAAACTAAAATGATTTACACGTGGTTGCACGATACATCCCGATAACGATAAATATAGAGAGCCTCAAATTTGGTTCCTTTCTACAGAAAAATTGTAAAAATTAAAACTGACTATTACCGCGATTTTAAGACATCCGCTAGATCAGTGATTTCCATTCCTATCTGGCAAAAATTCGATCAAGTTTTCCAAGCGCAAAGGCAGTAACTACAAATCCAACAAAATTAGACATGCCTTTATTTTCAAGGTATTTTGAATTTCTCCCTTGAGAACGAACGCCATCTGTTCTATCCTAATATAAAAATGTGAAATACTTCGCACTGCAACAGTCTAACGCACGTTGATGGTAATAGCAGATTGCTTCGATATCAAAGACTATACCCCATTATTCATTGTCAGTCAGTGTCTGAAGCTCACTCAGTCTTGTCATATTGCAGCAGCAAGAGGAACAGCAAGGGGAGTTTGATCCAGCCCTTTTCTCAACACTGCATATGACGGCTTCACCACCAAAACCTGTAGGGCTGTCAGGGCCACTGGCGTCGGAAGTGAGGGCTCCAGACGTCCTTGTACGCGGCCCGAGGAAAGGCCGACACCTGTGTGCATCCTTTACATCCCTGATTCCTTTACATCTTTGCCCCCTTACATTACGACATCCTTTATATCCCTGCTTTCTTTATATCCCTGCACCCTTTATACCCCTGCATCCTTTACAACTCTGCCACCCTTATACTCCTGCATTCCTTACATTCCAGCATCTGTTACATCCCTGCTTTCTTTATATCCCTGCATCCTTCACATCTCTGCCACCCTTATACTCCTGCATTCCTTACATTCCAGCATCCGTTACATCTCTGCATCCCTTGTATCCCTACAACCCTTATAATAAATATAACATATTATGAAACAAATATTTATGGCCGTTGGTTCGAGTAAAGGTAAGTAAAGGTAAGTAAAGGTAAGTACAGGTAAGTAAAGTCTTGTGACCGCAATATTAATGCAAACGCGCAACCCCGGTCTCACATTTTTGAACTTTTGAATTTTTGAATTTTCAATTTTTGGCCCTCTAGCGGGAAAAATGTTAACTAAAATTTCGATGTTGAATCAGCGCCATCTGGTTTCAGAAAAAGGAACTAAACCTTGCACCAATTTTGGCCCTCTGGCGGGAAAAACGTGAACTAAATTTTCGATGTCGAATCAGCGCCATCTGGTTTCAGAAAAAGGAACTAAACCTTGCACCAATTTTGGCCCTCTAGCGGGAAAAATGTGAACTAAATTTTCGATGTCGAATCAGCGCCATCTGGTTTCAGAAAAAGGAACTAAACCTTGCACCAATTTTGGCCCTCTAGCGGGAAAAATGTGAACTAAATTTCAAACGTCGAATCAGCGCCCTCTGGCGGCGAAAAAAGGAACTAAATTTCGCACGATATTTCGCTCACTCGTACAGGAATATAAGGGGTACAGTGATATAAGGGATGCAGAGATATAAGGGATGTAGTGATATGAGGGATGCAGAGATATAAGGGATGTAGTGATGTAAGGGATGCAGAGATATAAGGGATGTAGTGATGTAAGGGATGCAGAGATATAAGGGATGTAGTGATGTAAAGGATGCAGAGATATAAGGGATGTAGTGATGTAAGGGATGCAGAGATATAAGGGATGTAGTGATGTAAGGGATGCTGAGATATAAGGGATGTAGTAATGTAAGGGATCGAGTGATGTAAGGGATGCAGAGGTATAAGAGATGTAGTCATGTAAGGGGTGCAAAGATGTAATCTCCTCAAGGCACATGTGTAGAATGAAAAAATAAATAATTGTGAAGGGAAGCCTTGGTCCATAAAGAGGCATAGGATAATAACTAACTGGGAAGGGTTGTCCGTGCGAGGCTCATACAAAGAAATAAAATAATAGATAATTAGGATGCGTGGATCTTGGTCCATAAAGAAGGATAAAATAATTAATAACCGAAAAGGATTGGCTTTGGACTATAAAACGGGATAAAATTATAAATGCTTTTCACCTTTGATGAGCTGACAAGTTGATCCGCATCCCTCGGCTGTCGTTATAGGACTGAGGAGGTCGCACCGCGTTCTAGGTCTTTAATTACTGTGTTTTAAGTTTGATTTTCATGTATACTTATTTATATTATAAATTATATATTTATGATTTATTAAAGATCAATCAGTTATTGAATGTTGTATACATATATAAATAATTGAGAAAAGGAGTTAAGAATTTAAGTGAAATAAGTAACTAATTGTGAAAAAAAATTACATTAAATATATTACTCGAAAATAAAATTGGGTAAATTAAATAATAGCTCAGTTGCTTTTTTAAACTGATTTATTTACTAAGGCGCATGAAGTGAATACAAGTTTGTCAAACAATTATAATAATAATTGCTTAGTCTTGTGCTGCTTTTGACTGATTCTTGACAAAAAAGAATAAAATCAGAGAGAGTGAAAATTGGCTCTCTGCATGCAGACCTAATCTCCTCTCGGGGTGTCTGGAACCCCAAAGGTATGTCCAGTCTTTTTGTATCTATAGTCACTGGTAGCAGCTGGACGATACGTTTCCCCGATGCCTGTTAATTGCCTGAGCGAAGAATAAAGATAATTGGCATTTGGCGGAGAGTGATTCGCGATACGGGGGTAGTGGGTAACTTCTCGGAAAGAATCCTTCTATTTGTTCGCTTTTCGTCTTGAATTTGTAGCCGTCCGTCCAACGGCGATGGTAGATAGGTCGCGAGACGCCGTCTCAAGGAACGCTCTTTCTCGCTCTTTCCCTCTACCTTTTGCCAAGGTCTTCGATCTTCTTTTCTTGCAATGGGCGCCGATTTGCTAAACGCAATAACCCTTTATGAGCCAGGCGATAATAGCTCCGCGAAGCGAGCTTGGCCCCCCGACGTTGCGCTATAATTAGTCGAGCTTTTCACCAAGTTAACCCGTTGCCGGGAGGTGTTCGATTTGTAAGAAAAATCGAGATCATGGTCAGTGGAGCGATTACCGCTCTACGATAGGGGGTGAGAAGAGAGCAGAAGGGGTTGTTTAGATGGTGCGAGAGATCAGGCACACGGTCAGGATTTTGGTATCTCGTTTTTTCTTACGTCGAGGAGTATAATCCGTTAGCCGGTGACGAAGGATCGACGGGTATCGCGTAACTCGGTGAAGAAGGACAGGAGAAGAAGGGGTTCTGCGATCTGTCGAGCACTCTTCACGCGTGAGACTCTCGAGCTGCGTGGTTCACCAACTGGGAATAACCCCTCGTTATCGAACAACGATTAAGATACCGTCGTGTCTGGCGCACGAAACGCGAGAAAATGAATCGTACGGCTCAAGTTGAAACGTCTCGGCCTATTCTGACGTTAGTTTCTCTCAAGGACAATGAGAGATAACATATTTGTTCGGTGAAAAACGAATCGGTTCCCTACGTTTCGCAGGTTCGTTTCACGAAAAACGACGAACAAACATGCTTCTTTAATGATTACGAGCGGAAGGATTGCACCGACCTCGGTACTTGCCGTTTCTATCGATAGCCGTCGAATGAAAAATCGTCACGATAACCGTGTAACACGATAAACCGTTGCTCGATCCCTCTGCTCGACCATTGCCGACTGAGACTAATTGCGAATCCGATTACAACGTCCTCGGTTATTATTGTAATTAGCAACTGTAGAAGATATGAGTCGAACCAGCAACACAATTGGTACGCACCGGCTGTCACATCTCTCTTCGAACGAACCAACGGAGATCGACTGGTTGCGATTGCATGGAGTTCATCGAGAAAACGTTGGAAAATCTCGTGAAAAGCAGCGACTATCGGTCGTCGATTCGATCGAATCGATTCGTTGCAGCTACGCTCGCTCGAAGGCTGACCACCCGCGATCGCCTCGGCCACGAGAGTACAGGAAGAGAAGAAGAGCGAAGAAAGATGGAGCAGAAAGAAGCAGAGAGGAGCGTAGGCCGGGACTTTTTACTCGGATACACATGTGGCTAGCGGCGATTCGGGCCCGATAAAAGCACGGCCCGTTGGCTCGCGGCTCGCGGGACGATGGAAAGGGTTAAGGGTAGAGAAAGAGAGAGTTCTCGGACAAGTTGAGCGAATCGCGTGTGCGATGGTGCGCACATCCGCGCCACGAAAGAACGAGACCGACCCGAGGCCGGAGCGTGTGCCGCGATCCGCGCGTTACGCACGTGCATCGCCCACCCTATCAAACAAACCTTTTTTTCTCTCCTTGCTTCTTTGGAGAACATCCAACAGCGTCCAGGAAACTTTTCTCGAACTGCGCACCGAGGTAATTTCAGAAAATCGACCCTTCACACGACCGTGAAAATCTGTCCACGCGCGAGTCAAAGGGTCGAGTGGGCGAGGAAAAGTTACAAGAGCGTTTAAATTTACGAGTTTCCCAGAAAATCGCGGTCGGACGTTTTTACGAGACCTCTTACAGTCCTCGCCCGTAAAAGCTTACGAACGTTTCGAGCCGATAACCAGAGAGAAACACGATTCGACCTGAAGCGCTCCGTTTCTGGCGCCTTTTAATTGTTTACGTTCTCCTACGGGACCGTTCGTTTTACGATGTTCGATAATTTTTCCGTGAAAGGAAAAGGTTTCCCTTTCTCGATGAAACGGGAGACGAGAGGAAATCGAACGAGGTGAAGGAAAACCAGGCGAGTTTGAGATTTATGGTTGCGCGTGGATCGTAGGAGGCACGCGTTGCGGGTCACCGAGATCGATCGTAAAACACGAACGACTTGTTTCGTCTAATAGCTGAAAATACCGTCGCCAGGGAGCAGCTGGCCGAGTAGGGCCTTCCTCGATAAATTTCACTTTGCTCCTGTCAAAATAACGCGGAGCCCGGTCTGGCATCGAAAAGATGAACGAGAAACTCGAGACTAGGGTGCCATCCATGTTCTTACCAATTTGCTAACAGATTTTTACAAGTTCTTCCTCTTCTATCGTGGCAACTGTTCAACTGTCAGAGCTGCGATGGATCTCGATCGACGGATCTTCCTCGAAAAGGATCTCGAGCGAACGCTCTCGAGTGGCAGATCTCTAAGGGGAAAATAAACGATTACCAAGAGGTTTCGTGGAAAACGCTCGGTTCCGAGAGTAAACCCGATTTCTAGCGGAGAGAATAAGAAAAGGTACTAGCCTCGGGTGGTTGGAGTCAACGTGGAGAGGGTCAAGAGTGGCCGTATTCCTCGGGCGAGGGGTCGTTGGAGCGTCGCGTAGGCGGTTACGGATACCGTCTAAAGTTTCTCCCTTTCGTCCGGCTGCGTTCTCTCAAAGTTTCGTTGCTCCGTTTGGTTTTTCTTACGTTCGGTTCGTTTGACACTTGATAGCGCTCGAGCGTGCATAGCTGCGCGTTCTGGCTTCGCGCGAGATCCTCTTCGACGAGGCTCGCGAGCCATCTTTTCTTCCTCTTCTTCTTCGACTTCTTCCCCTGTTTCATCTCCCCCCTTTCCCGTGTTTCGTTCGCTTCAGCTCCTCTACGAGAAGTCGTTTCTTGCCGCGGCTCTCCTTCGTCCACGATACCATCTTTCCCGTTTGATAAATCGTTACCGGAAATTCCGACAAAAACCGTATCGCTCGTTCGCGCTCTAGATGCTTAATTGGCGGGCGCAACGCGACCAGCGTCCGTCTGTTTTCTGAACGAAGGGCCGAGGGAGGAAAGAGAGTCGAACGTAGCTGACCGCTCGCGAACGCCCGCTGATTTTTCCACGTTTTCCTCGACAATGCACGGGATTGTACGGCATTGTTGCATAATCGCGAGACCACGGAGCGGAGTACGCCTCGGCGGTATCGTTCGAAACGATCGATGAATTTAGCTGGGACTCGTCTTCCAGTTTCATCTCCGTTCCGTCCTTCCTTCCTTCTCTCGCCGAATCATAAATTTCGAGGCGCGCGCCGCGCCGTGGAGCACGCACTGCCAACGACACAGAGGCCTCTTTGTGCGCTCCATTTATTTATCCGTCAACAATTATACCGGGACGGTGAACGGGAAATCGCGAGCCTCGTCGCGTTTCACGATCCTCCTTTCCAGCATTCCTCGTCCTCTTCTTCTGCCACGGCTGTCCCCGATGATCTCTAAACAAAATCAGCTTTCACAATGATCTCAGAATCAAATCAATCTGTCAAATCATTGTGAAAACCAGTTTCGTCTCAGTTACCTGTTACAGCAGGTAGCTGCGATCGATTCACCTCGATGAAACCTGCGAGACGATGCTTACGGCGAAGCGGTGGCTGGAAAATGGCGACGGGAACAAAGACGTTCGACGCGAATACGTGTGCTGGCATCCTCGTGATCCACTCGATCGCGAATCTCGAGCACGGGGGCGAACGGATCGAAGAGAATTGGATCGCGACGAGTTAAGGGGCCTCTGTTGCTCGCAAACATCCAAAAATAAACGAGCACGCCTCTGCCAGGATTTCGGAGATCGCTCAACTGTAAGGGAGAACGCGTTTAGTACGAATTGGAAAACCGAAACGCAGTTATCGATGAATCGATATCGCTGTTGACATCGATTTTCGATCGGTCGAGGATTTCGTAATTGCATTCCTTCGGCTATGCTAATTAAAGAATGCCCCTTATTTTTCATTCCGATACCGTTTTCATTGTCGAAGAACGCGATAGCGCGGTCCATTAATAACGAGGCCACGGAGAAATCACGAGTCCGTGGACAAGAATCACGGGTCGAGTACGGTATTTTCGCTAGTCCGAATGCTAATATCCGAACGTGAGGATCCGTTGACGTATATTATTTTGCACGTGCGCTATCGGACGGTCGATAACGCGCTGACGGTTACGCGAAGCCCTGATAAAGATACGACCGGCCGACCCTACGACCCCGTAGCGATTCCATGGAAGCGGAGAAGAACCTACAAGCGTTGCCGCTCGAGTTTGACGACGTCGAGCGTCGTCGTGGCACGACAGAAATCCTTGACAAGAAAAATTCGCGCATCCTCGGACCACGCTTCAACAGCCGCCACTGTCTCGGTCCGCTCCATAAGTCGCGCGGGTCGAGAAGAAACGAAATTAAAAAAAAAAAAAGAAAAAAAAAAGATATGCGAGATGCTCGATATCGTAACGACACGAACCATCAAATGAATTGGCCGGCGGCGATTACGCCGCGCGTTCAATCCTTCCGAGAATCGAGTCGCTAGCGTTATCTAATTAACGCTCGCTTCTTCTTGTTTGGATCGTCGTAAAAATTAACGAGGGAGGATTAGCGGAACGTCGTAACGACGTTCGTATTTAGCGACAACACTGAGAAGGCGAAGGTCTTACGAAAAATGATAAAAGAATTTAATTAGACAATTTCAATTCCCCTGAATGTTGAGTACATACTTATTTCCGCAAAGGCGGAAATCTTTTTGAATTCGAACGCGTCGAACCGCGAAATCGATCGATAATATAGAGTGATGATTTATCGACACTCATAGTCGTAACTTTATCGACCGCTGGTAAACTGGTGCTATCGACCACAGTCGGTAACGTACCAACGTCTGCTGCGTTATCATGCCCGCGCAATATCGCAATTTTCTTTACCGACTGTCGAAAAGCTAGAGGAGATAACTGGTTCCGAGTACAGCGGGTTGCATTCAAAGCGCAAACTTTTAAAAAACACTTTTCACAGTGAATCAAAATACGATAAGATCGCCAGCGTTTATTTCTCGCCTCGCATTCATCTTTGTTTCTTCAAATATACTTTATATCTCAGAGGAAAGTTCAGTTTTCAGTCGAATAGAAAATGGCCTACCAATCGGACAAGCCTGGACGTTGAAAATCAAAGGAAACTGGTGTTTCGCAAGCGCTGAAACGATTAAAAAAAAAGAAGAATCCGTGCTGTGGAAGAAAGCGAGCGAAGGCTATCTCGCAGCAGAGCGTAGTAAGAGGAAGAGGCGTAAAAGTCATTCAGACCAGCGCCGAGCCATTGATAGAGGCGACGAAGCGAGGTCAGCTATTTGTACTCGTGACAGACCCCTCCAGAGAATTTCGTGCAAGGATGTGGATCGTGGCACATGCACGCACGCACGCATGCACACGCTCCGACACCTACACGCTCGGCGAGTAACGCGCCTAATCTGTGTACACGCATGGAGAAATCGTTTTCAGAAGCACGACGCGTCGCCTGGAATCGGCACGACTCGCGAATCGTGCAAAAGTGTTCGGGGACTTACAGACTTACACGTGATTCACGATATTATTTTTGACCTTCTTCGCGAGAATCGCGAGGCGCGTGGCTAGAATCGAGGCGCGAACGCGCTCGGGTTTTTTAAATTCCGACTCTGGTCTTGCAAGCGCGAATCGTAACCGCGGAATATGAAAATGAGAAGGAAACGAGGTTGCGATAGAAAATGATGGAACACGAGTGTGTTATATAATTTCAACGAAAGATCACGCGTGGGACTGGCTCGATCGTTCGACGTCACCAGAGACGAGCTTCTATCCGCTTTCGGACAGTCGCGTATCCTATCGCGCGTAATGGTAGCGGCAGAAAAGACGGATTTCCATGCAAGACCAATCGCGAGAAACACCTTGACAAGGCTGCCACTCTTGGAATTCGCTTCTCTCCCTCGACATACCGGCCGAGTGAGTAATTGAGCGAGCGAGAGAGCGTACGGTGAAGGCACGGGGTACCGAGCAAGACGGGTAGAAAGAGCCGAGAGAAATATTACGAGACCGGCAGACGTAGAGAAGGAGAGAAGTCGCGGCGCGACATGAATAATACGCGTTACAAGTCGAAAGAACCGCAACTTTTGAAAAGTGTCACGGCAGCAAGAGATTCTTTCTATTCTTTCTTGCAGCTGGTTGACCGGTCGCGGGCCTAGCGAAAATAGGACGCCGGCCTTCCAGCCGGATCTACGGAGATCGTTTGCCCCGGACACTTGTACGAACAAATTCGCGACACGTCCTTGCTTTCGACGCTGGTTAAACTGTCGCTCTAACGCTACAGCATCGTTAATTCAACGTAGGCTCGAGTTCTTCTGGTGTAAAAGTTGCGCGTGCACGAATACCGTCTTACTTTCCCGTGCTCATCTTGCCCGCTTTCAACTTTGCCGCTCGTTCGATATTCGCGAGAAAGGGTTAACGAAAGACGATGGAAAAACTCGCGTACAGATGAACTCAGCTGAGAGATGAACGTATGGTCCGCGCGACTCTGCGTCATCTTTCTATTCTCGGATCGTCTAATTGCTCTAATTAAGAAGATCACAGCTCTGGAATAACGCGGCGGGTTTATATTTGTCCCGCATCGTGGGTCGTTTACTACGCGACATTTCTAACCTTTTGCGTGTCGTCGAAATCCTGCGAATGATCACCAGGAGCGAAGTTGAACGAAAAGCGTGCTTCACGCTCGGTTCGAGGATCTTCGACGGCAGTTCTCGCGAGACGGTGATCCGGTTGGCAACCGAACAGCAACGAAGAGAGAAGAAGAACGCGACGAAGTTAAGAAGACAAAATCGAGAGCAACGGTCCAAGAGGAGAAATCGAGAAATCGAATAGGCGCCATTTTTTGAATAAAATACTTTAAAAAAAAGGGCAACTCTATCTGCGGGCGGCTAATTTCATCCCTACGGATGGGGAACATCCTTGGAGATTTATAAAATCGACCGGTCAGAAGGTGGTGAAATTAAGGAAAATGACGGGATTGAAGATCAGTGGAGGAGCGAATGAAAATCGGGAAAGACGAAAGATTTTCATCGCGTAAGACTCGACACGATCGGACTAACGGACGGACGAATAAACGATGGAACGAAGAGAGAACGATGAGTGTGCTGAAGAAGGAGAAAGAGTAGAAGTAGAAGGAAAGAAGGAGGATGAGGTGGAAGAGGAGGAGGACGACCACCTATACAAGGACCTACGCGGCCAGTGGGAATGGAATGCAGATACGAGTCCAGTCTCCGACTTTACTCTTGCCTCCTCGCCTCCTGATCAGCCACCTCCACCTTCTCCTTCTTTTCTCTTCTTATTTCTGCTCTTTTCTTTGGTAGCTCTAAACAACTGACCCCGGTGCTCACCGAATCGCCATCCTCTTCCACCTACCGACTTCACCACCTCTTACCCCTGCTCTGGGCCGTCTTCGACACACCTAATAATAGCAACGTCGTTATCACCGTAAATGCTCGTTAACACGGTGACTGAAAAGGACGGGCGAACGGACGGGTTTCTTTTTCTCGACGGGAACGCGCGAAACTCGGGCGTGAAAGCGGCGGCGCGACGGTGGATAATTCGAGATCGAATTTGGCGATTAGGGTCGATCACCCGACAGTGGCTGCGGCGGTGGTAGCGGGAACGGCATCGGTGGAAAGGGTCTGCAAGTGGAATGCGGTCGACGTGCGGCCCTGCCGTGGGAGACGGCCGAACAACTACACCGACCTACTACTAGTATCCACGCGCACCGTCGTCAGCCTCGCGACTCCAACCGTACCGATCGTCCAGCCGATCTTTTCTTTTCCTGCATTCGAAGCCGAATAAAATTGGAAGTCTCGTCGAACGGTGTCGAAGAAAAATTTCAATACCAACAGGTACTCACCGTGCCACTAGCGAATAATAAATTCTATCACGATCGCTCGAGAAATGATTCCCGTTCGATTCTCCTCGTTTCGAGACGAATCGATCGGTCCTCGTTCGCAACACCGTTCAATCAGGAAAGTGTGCGCACGAATGGATCGGCAATCTCCGCGGTGGAATCTAGGCGAATCGAGCCGCCGACGATTCAACAAATATCCCATGTTTCCGCCGTTCAAGGCAACGTAACGAGGAGTCATCGTTTCAAGGTTACGAATACCGACGCCGTCGCCATTATATTATGATAATTCATCGATAATCCCGATGAATAATGGAGAATCGCTAGCGTGGTGTGCGTTATGTCATTGTCAATCTGCACGCGTTACGATATACAGAGGAGCCGCTTCATAATGGATTAGCTGCGATTGATGCACGCTTGCTGATATTTTCTCGTTTCGTTTTCGTTCCTACCACGATTTATCCGGTGTCACCTTGAATCACTGATCGTCTCGGATCGTTTATCGCCGAGGCTAGAGGCTGGATAGGGTTTTCAAAGAATTCTTAGCTTGAAATTCCACCTGCATTTTCCCCGGGAGTCGACCGAGACGATCGAGCTACTCGACCAACGACGAATACTTCCTAGCCTGTCCAATAATAGAACTGTGCGAAGCGGAACAAGACGAATGGTTCATGGAAACCGTACCGAACAGAGAACGGTCTGTCTCGATTCGCGATGGTAGTACGCTCGGCAGCTACGTTCGATTCGATCGGCAACGAAACGCGTGCAAACTCGCGGAAATACGGAAAAAGTCGTCGACAAGAGTAGGAAGGCAACGAAGCGATCAGATCCGAGAATAAAACGGAAAGCGAGACCTTGGCACGGATTCGTCGAACAGTAATGGCGCAAACGGCGTTTCGTTTTTACGAGACGACGTTGCCGATCGTCCGTCGCGTCGCGGGGATAAAGGTGATCTATCGCAGGTGTATGCATTTCTACGTGGACGGGCACCGCTCGGTTTGCACGAGCGATGTACATTTGTGTGCATAGGATGTAGAGGCGCGTACGTAGCCTAAGCGTGGGACCAAAGCGAGTGAAAAAGTCGCACGGCGTGCAGCGGCTCTCACAGGCAAGGAACGTCCGCGTGACAGCAAGCACAGATCGAGAGGCGCGATTTTCGTAGATATTTTCAAGACGTTCCTGCAGCATCCTCGATACGAACGAAACCGGCCTTGCAAATTCTCCTTACCGTCTGTAAAGAACGAATTGGCACGGAACGCGAGCCCTATTCCCATCGCGGTGTCGTTCTTTAATACGGAAAGGTCGACGCGATCTCGTCGGACGAGTTTCGCGAACACAATAGAAGGGCTAGGAGCACGAATCGTCGACGCAATCGTCGTCGAGGTCCTCGTTGCCCCGCTGCGATCCGCTATAACGAGAGCAGCAGCTGGTGCCCCCGTCTTTCCCTTCCGACCCTGCTTCGCTTCTCTTACGAAGAAAAGAAGGAAAGGAAAAAACGGAAGCTTCCACGGGGACAAGGAAAGAAGACGCGGCGGAGGAGGTGGAGGACGAAGAGGAAGAGAAAAAGAAAAGGGGAGCAAGAGCGCAGCCTGCAGGAGTGCCTTACGGGTACGGGCTTTTCCGTTCGCGTTCCTTCTCTTTGCTTGAATCCCGACGAAGAAAGGAGGGGAGATCCGAAGGGACTGAAAAAAAGGGGGGGGCCTCGGGATGGGCACGTGTCTCGAGCAGGACATCTGCCTCTGAAAAGGACCCACTGTTACGTCCCCATTATATCGTTTACCTTACCAGCGAACCACCTATCCCTTCTTTCTACGCTCTCTTCGTCTTCTTCCTTTCTTCCTTTCCCCTCCTTTCCGGAACGTCTAAGACGAGCAGCTGCCCTTTTCCCTTGCAAACCGGACTACGCACCTGCCCTTCGAGTTAGGAGGATAACCGTTAACCAACCCCGAAATAATCGCGTTCCTCTATATCGGGGAACGGAGACGTGGAAAAATCGCGTGAACGCGCAACGATCACACCGTACGAATCGTTGGCGTAAAAAAAAGAAGGGTGGACGATCGGTGCCTTCCCGTCTCGGCGAGTTAAAACGGCACGCGTGACCGTTTTAAACGCGGGCACGAGTCGGTCATCGACGACACGGGGTCCGGTGTTGGTCGGGGATGGTCAGTAAGCGATCGTAGGTGACGGAATGTAGCGAGCGTCGCGGCGCTTCTATTTCTGCGCGTCGGACGTCGACCCGCAGACAGCTCCCAGACTACACGCGCGTTAATAACCGACACGGTGGACCTCGCGGAAAAACGAATCGTCGCGTCCCCCTCGAAGCCGGTAAACACGTGCTCGCACGTATCTTTCCGCGAACGCGAGGCTTCTACGGCAGAACTAGGTCGCGTCCACTTTCACGTCCAACCACGGGATCCACCGTTTTCGCACTGCACGCCGGTCAACTAGATGCAGAGCGATTCAAATATATACCGGCAGACGTGCGATACGGGTAGCACCGTTTCCGAGCTTGTTTCTGGCACGTGCGCACTCGATCGCGCACGAAATTTACGTAGACCGCGATGATTTGCAAACGAACGATTCACCATCGAGACACGCTTGAAAATTTCAACCACCGAGATCGATCTGCAACCGCGCGAAAACACCGTATGCGACTGCAGGCCGCGTGTGTACTGGCAATCAAAGCGCAGGTAAAAAAAAAAAAAAAATGAAACAGCTATAGGTAGAGGGGGACTTTCGAGGGCAGATCGGCGAAGGGAAGCTTTAAAAGGGGCGGCCCTGTCGTCGTCATCGGGATTCTAACCAAGCTCGTCCGCTTTTAAATGAACGATCCCTCGGCAACGAAATCGTTTGCAAACTCGCACGCCTATGCGTAACACGCGTGTATTGTACGAACGTACGTACGGACGAATACCTTCTAGGTACGAAAGGAAGCCAACTTCCTTCCTACGTCCGATGTCACGCGCACCACCGTTTATATAATCCATCCTGTGACGTCAGGCTGTTTAATCCATTCATTACTGAATCAGCTCTCTCTCTCTCTCTCTCTCTCTCTCTCATTCTCACGCGCACACACACGCACCTTCGCTTTTTCTCCTCCCTCCGTACAGTGGTGTGTGTATCGCACACGGACGTATCGCAAAGGGAGAAACGGAGATGAAGACGACGAAAAGAGGAAGCGCCGTTCTTCGACCTCGAGGAGAGAGATCCAACGGAAATTCGTCATTTCGCAGAGGAAGACGTTGAATCGCGTATCAAGGGAAGACGAATGAAATACTTTGAACAACCAGGCGAACCAAGTCGCTTATCGAGGCTAGAAAAGGGCGTTGTAAATCGAGCTCGATCGAATTGCGAGAATCTCGTTTCGACGGACGCGTGTTCGGCGACGACGGTGGGCGGATCCGCGTCCCGATCGATTTCGATAGGATGCATCGAATCTTCGCAAATCCCTCGTATCGATACGGTAGTCTTTAAAAAGAAATCGATAAAAATTTGCAAAAACCTGTTGGGCCGCGTGCTGCTTTTCGTCGCTTGAATTTGCGACGATGATTTTCTGCGAGCATGAATCTACGATTGCACGCGCGCCTCTAGTATTTACGCAATCGGTCGTTCGGTTGTGTTCGACGCAGGTGGCGCTATGACGCAAATCTTTTATCAGCTAGTTTCGCGCCGATATCCGCGCTTCGACGATGAAAATAACGCGTATCGATGAACGTTTCTCCTAGGTGAGACCTGAAACAATTAGGTTGCCTGCGGTCAGGCAGCGCAGCCAAGCCTGAGAAGTTCACCGAGGATCGTCTGGGACGCAGCAGGAGAGAGGAAGTGACGTCTAAAGCGGAAACGTAACATGCGCTTACATATGTTCGCGAAGAATTTATAAAACTGTCAATTACAAAACTATTGAAATAAAAAGATATCTATGTACCTCTGACTTCTTTCCGTTTACCCCGTTTCCTTCTCGATCACGGTCCTGCGATCGTACGATTATCCGCGCGCTACTAATTACAGGATATTGTAAAATCAATAATGAATATCGCGTCGAGCGATACGTTCGCACGTTCAACTAACGGGTCTACTATCCTTGGCTGGCAATAAACGAGAGAGGATTGGGCGTCTCGTTAACGTTTCAGCGAGCACTCGTCAAGCATTTACCCACGAATGTTACGCTATCGAGGAAACCAGAGTTCGTTGACCCTTTCCGAACCGTGAACGCGACTAGTAAGATCATCCCGGCACTTGAAATTTTTCCGAATTTATCACACTTTTTGCTTTTCACTCTTCCGTGAGAGAAGCGCGTAACAAAGAAAGAAGAAAAAGACGAGGAGACGAACGGTCGATGTTTGAGTTTTTTACCCCCGAATGTTGAACGGCGCTGCCATTGTTGCGGCAAACGTGTGGGAAAAAGTATTTACTACGGAGCGAACGAAGAGCTTGCGGTTCATTCATGTCGGCTTACTGAATGGCAAGAGAAAGAGGGAACGATCTATGCACAGGACGTGGTACGCAGAGACACGCGCACCGTCCGCGGAGATACGCGCGTACACGCCGAGGGGCTCTTGCAACCGCATAAATAAACGTTCCCGCACGCCTACTTTGTCGTTACAAAAAAACGTTTCACCTGACGAAGGAAATCGATTGAAAATTCCGCTCGTTACCGTTGATCTAGGTAAGTACACCTATGCGCTTTCGTTACGGTATGCGCTGTTGAAGGTGAACAAAAGAAGAGAGAGAGAAACGGAAGTGGACCAACAGAGACCGCGAAACGATGCATCGGATGTACGATTGAGAAGAGTCGTCTGTGCAAACCTCCATTATATAACGACTCGTATGTAAAATACCCACACGTTCGATACTACCGCTTAGATAAAGGACGTCTGTAAAAACGCCCAGTGATGGCGCATTGTGAAGCGAACCGGCAGTAAAACGCGCCGCTAAGGTGCTCGTAAAGCACGGCGAAAACCGGCGAAATAAAGCACGATTCGAATGAAATGATGTACCTACATCCGGTCATCTACCGAGTTGTCTCCGTCGATACGCCTTTACTCTAATCGCTGTTCCATTAGAATTTCCTGTTGCTCGCCATTATCTATCTCGAATTTTCAATCAAACCTTCGCGGTGACGTCTCGAAATTGAGAACCGCTGTGCATCGAAGGAGTTCCCACGCTGTACCATGCGCGTCACACATCGCCCTCGTCTAGATACGTCCCTGACACTTGGTGCCGGTCCAAGCGATAGGACTTTGTCGATGCCTGACCCGGCAACCGATTACAGGCCAGAGCGTATGAAATAATAGATACGCGAAAGAAAGATCGATCCGAATATCTGTGCGATCGGTGGATGAATCGGTATGAAAGCTAGAGGCGCTCGTAAAACGGTTTCTGCTGCGACAAGCTCGCTCGACCACCTGTGGGAACTGTATTTTCCAGTCTCTCGCTATCTCAACACAAGCGATATCGCACCGTTACGACCACCGTCGCGACTACGTTACGGAAGGTAATAACAATCCTCCGGAAATTTTCCACCGTTCGTTTCACCGATTCGTCGCTCCGTTACACCGTTTGGAAAACTGTTGAGCGTGTTTTCAGGATGGAACACCGGCAACACGGATTTCCGTGTGTTACGAAGATAGGCCTGGGTCTTTCTGATAGTGGATAACGACTATCAGAAAAATGAAAAATGAAAAAAAAAATGGAGGGGGAGGTGGGAATGGTGAGTCACATTTGACGGCACATTCTCTCTACGTGCGGATAGAAGGAGATGGAATACGAAGAGGAGCTAGAATAAAGAAAGAGGAAGGTTAAGCGAAGAAGAGGGAGAAATATTCTCGCCGCGTGCGCGCGCGAGACCGGTTCAGACAGCCAAAGTTGAACGAACCCACGCGCGCAGCCTGAAGCTTGCTAATTTTTTAAAGACCCATCGCCGATCGGTACTGCTACTATCGAGACACGATCGACAAACGATCGACGACCTACTTGCTATTCGTCGTTTCTTTTTACCTCGAATATTCGTTCCGAGCTCTGTTTCGTGTTCCACTTAAAGAAAGATTAACACGTACCGCGCCGATGCGATCGACGAAATCCAGTTTTTCGCGATGGCCCGTTCCCACGGTTGACGTTTCTTCGCGAATCGATTCGTTCTAGATGGAATTAAAACGACGTTGGACTTTCCGGCAAACTCGATGGAAGACATCAGGCGCCGCTGGGATACCTGTGCTCTTTGTGTGACGATAAAATATTTGTACAGGGAACGATACGGATGTTTGAGCAACAATTAATGATTCGTCTGTTCGAGTACAACAAAAAGGTAAAACGTTCGAATCGGTTGCGATCGTTTCGACGGGACAGGACGGATCTATTATCGTCGAGCTCCGTTATCGTTGAAAATCAGCTGGTACCCGAACGATCCCCGAACGTGATCGACGCCGATCTGGTTCGGGCGATAAAACGAGAATGCTAGTCGTCTGTTTACACCTAACGAGTTCACAGCCGGTGTAATTCCGGCACGTGTAAAACTTTCAAGGACGAGGCGTGTCTCGCGAACGCAAGCGTTACGCAAGCGTTACGCAAGCGGAAAACGGAAGCGATCCGAGAAACGTTGCGAGTTTCTCTAATTAACCTTACGGATCGGATGAAGCGCGACAGAGAGGTGGCGAGAAAATGAAGAATAAAGAAAAAGAAGATACGTAAGGAAAGAGGGTGCAGTTTCGCAGGGTCACGTAGTGATTAGTCGGGACACACACGTGCGTAGGAGACCCGCAAGAATTCGCGCACGCGTTAACCGCATGACGTCAACGCGCGTCTCGGAACAGCTGACCGCATTCCACGATAATTGTTTTGCATAACCGTATGGCAGCGAGGCGTCGCGTCGCCTCCTTGCGAACGAGTACAGACAGTTTTCGCGATTTTCGACCCTCCGGACCTGTCGAAACGGCGCGAAAGGGGAAGCTTCGCGACGAACATGGCTGAAAACGTTCGCGTTCGCCGCTACTCAGAGGAGCGTATAATTCGAGAGGATACGGAGGGGATAAAATTTGAAAGGGGCCCGATCAAATTGGTGGGGGTCTCGTGTAGATCGATGACAGCCCTGTCCGGTCGTCGATAGTTTCGCGGGCAGCGCGTTGGCTTTTAAAGTTTAAAGAGCCAATCGCGACGACAACGGTACCGCCGCGCCGGTGGCCGGAGTAGCAGCGTCTAGGCATGCCAGTGATTCTCAAACGACGGCGTCGACGGTGAAAGAAACGTAAACCACTCGCTGCGATTGCCGGTGAAAGAGCTCGCTTCGGAAGGAAGTCGAGGAATGCGACGGGACGACGAGTCGGGAGGATATTTGCGCCGTATAAGGACTTCTTTAACGGCGGTTGATCGCCGACTCTTCGATCCGTCCGCGGTTGTCTTCGAGGAACCTTAATCTTTGGCGAAACGATCGGGAAAAATTAGAATGATTTTTCGCGAAAGAACAGCAACGAAGCGCAAGTTTCGCTCTAGCAGTTTCGCGATCCATGAAGCAGCACCGTACGTCTCGGAGCGTGGTTCGCGCATAGTTGTTGCATGACGTTTGCGAAGAAACAACGCCAGCTCGACTCGACGGATCGCGCGCCGTTTCCGTGAAAAGCCATCACGATGAATCGTTGTCCGATCGTTTTTCTCGCGGTTTCCCCGGTTATTCGATCGCCGTTCGATCTTGCCGGAATGCGGGAAGAGGAGGCGCGGGAATCGTGTCACTGTCGCCGATGTAGAATCGAATCGGAGCGAAGAAGGAAACGCGTTCGGTGTTCCCGTAACGAGCGTACTCGTAATTCGAGACAACGCTTCCAAAGATTGGTCACGCGCTGATGGATTTCTCGTTCGCTACTGAAACGCTATCGCGCTGGACTCTGAACCGAAACTACTCGTTACTTAACGGTGAGCCGAAAAAATAAACATAAATCACCGCCCCGTATCACTGTTAATATTCTTATTCATTAAGCCGAAGTAAAGCTGTGTAGCCAGCTCTCGCGCAGATAAGAAGAGATTTAACGTTGAAACGGATGAATGAAGAGGATTGGTTACCGTGCCTTTCAATAACGCTGAAATGTATTTCGATAAAATGTATATCGTGGACGTTTGTCCGGGTGAAAATCGTCTTTTCTATCGAACGATAGGAAACGGAGCGGTTTCTCCTTCAGGGTTTAGAGTGCATTCGCACGAGAGAAGCGTACATCGGCACGGCACGGCATGGCACGGCACGACAGAACACGCAGACACGAACAAAGCGCGTTTCGCACGTACGAAGCACCGATACATACCTACTCGGAATAGAGAGTATGTACAGTAAGCGCAGCAGACCGTCTCGTCTCGTCGTGGCTCAGACCTTAATGACGTCATTATCTCTAATTAGAATTCCCATAGTGGCAGCGGTCCTCCCTACCGACACCCCGTTACACCTGGCAGCTACTGTTCCCCGTTTCGTTCTACGCGCCGTGAGTAGAATGGCAGAGTCGATGATCGTGTAACGATCATCGGCGAAACAGAGCCATCCTCCTCGATGAATTCGACGTCTGAAAAAAACGGAGCTAACTTTCGATGGCTAAACGAGCACGATGAATTACAGGATATTGCGAGACACGTTGAACGAACAACGACGTTTCGTTTCGTTTCCCCTTTATTTCTCTCTTTTCCTTTGTTTCGAGTAAATGAAAAACCTTGGCACAGGGAACCAGCTGAAAAAAAGGTTCGTTCGGATTTACGTTCCCTACGTTTTTACCGCGTATTTCCGTAAGCGTTGAATAATAGTCGCGTAACAGAGTGACACAACCGTGCTTCTCCTCTTCTCTTTGTCGACCGAACGATGCTTCAGGAGGAACAGAGACGAAAAGAGAGGATAAAAAGAGGGGGAGGAGAGGGAGAGAAAGAGAGAGAGAGAGAGGTGCATGTCCAAAGTCATGCGCGACCGCCTCGTACGTGTATATGTATGCATGATTCCGCGACCCTTTCGTCGCTGCCGCACCACTGCCACCGCCTCCGTCGCCGTCGCCGTCACCCACCGACGCCGTCACCGTCGTCGTCGTCGACCGACTGAAACTTCCACTACCACTTATCAGAGTCATCGTTGCTCCCACCCCTCCTACCGCTATCGTCTCTTTTCCCTCCGACTTCGTTCCTTTCCTTCGACGCGACGTCCTGAAATCGTGACGTCAAGCTGGATACCTGTTGCACGCGACGCGTTTCGGAGCCAGCCGCGTTTCTACGTTCGATCGAAAACGATCGAACGGAATCGGCGAACGAACGAACGAACGGGACAGACAGTGCAAACGCCAATCGCTAATGCGGAACGCGTCTTTCCACAAAGAGCGAAATCAACGAAAATAGACGAAGCTGGTAGGTTCGTTGGAATTGAGCCAATGATACGTCGAGGCGCCACAGAAAAATTTCTACGACGCAACGCGACGAGACGACGAAACTAGCGGAAGTTTGAGTTGTATCTATCGGAGCAACGCGTCTGATCGCGGGCGGATCCGTTCCACTGCGCGTCCGCGAAACTCGGACGATTCGAGCGCAAACTGTTCGGAATTGAATTCATCGATTGCGTCGAGTACGTGGAAAAAACCTACCGTCCTCGTATCCGCGAGCAAACGCGCAAAACCATCGTACGCGTCTGTCTACGCATGTGGCCCCGCGGTCTCGCAATTTAGAAAAGAAATTATCGCTCCTAGAATTGATAAAAGGCAAATAGACATACGGGCAACGATAAACAAGGACAGCGTTCTCGATGACTTCCTCTCCAGTGGTGCTTCGTCCACGCGTTTTATCGCCTTTCGTTCCTCGTTGCTTTTCCGCAGCTAATTCAAGCTCGTTGTCGCGTTCGAGAAAAACGAGGCGAGAATATGGAATGAACGATTCGACACCGCGGTCGATGATCGAAACTAGGCAAACTTTCGTTTCTCCCCAGTAGCGGAGAAACGCGAATGAGAACCGCGATCCTAGAACGCCGGTCGCCGACACATAAATAGAACGGTGGACCTTAACGCGCGCCTTTTGCGCCTTTATGTAACTTGGCCAAATTTATGGTCGTTATCTATTTAATAATACGCGGATTTACTTGCGCCATTTGCCAACATCAAACGATCTGTACGTGAGTACAGTACGGTACGTAGACGCGTGCACGGCCGGGCACGTGCGCACATACGAGTTTAACGTAAATTTCGTGCGGGTGCGTTCACCTCCGCGATTTCATCCTTCCTCCTTCACGGTCGACACGAATGTCGAGCTGTCTTGTCGATTAACCTTCGATGATCGACAATCACCGGGCTCGACCGGGAATCGCTGATCCGTAGAAATTTTTGTCCAACGTACGTCGACGTCTTATCCACGGATAACGTTGAATCATCGCTGTAACATGTACCTATGATCCATAAAAGGAATAACTAAACCGACTGGCTGCTAGATGTAAACTCGAGATTAGCGGGGAATCTTCGTATCGGTCAAAGAGCGAAAACACGGAGGAATACGCAACGATTTCGATGAAACGTCATCGGGCACGTGGCTGGAAAGGTGAAACTCGCACCCATTTTCCACTTGTCGCAAAGTGACATCGCGAACGGAGTTTCCTTTCGCAACCGATCGTTCGCGCAGCGGCGACGAGCTTACGAAACTCGTTAACTCGCGGTATGGCAACCAACGAGTTTTTACTCCGTTATAGAATTTTCCTCGGTCGAGCGAACCCCATCGGACCATTTGACGCGTTCACCGGAACTGACGTACATACGCAAAACGATCCATCTCCGAGATAAACGATGAAACGTACCTTTTTACTCGTACGAGTTCGTGATATCGTTGAAAAACGGCGTCTTGTTGCGAGTCGGTCGATCGGTAGCTTCGATCGGTCGACCAAAGAGAATCGGAGCAAAGGAAACAGGATGCGAAGGAATATGTACCATCGCGTAGTTGAAGCGATACACGATTCAAGCAAAGTGCAGGGCAACACTGAAAACACTGCGGAGGCGCGATCGGTGTGAAACTCGAGTGACGTAAGGTCGCGAACTGTCAAAGTCGCAGCGTAAACGACCGACTGGTAGACGGACGAGGACTGAGTAGGGCAACCGATCGCTCGTGGATTCCCTCTTCTATCTCTCTCTTTCTCCCCTCTACCCCTGCTACCGATCCCGCCGTAACCGCTCCCACCCCTCTTCACTGCAACTCTTTCTCGCTTCGTTTATCCTTCCTTATTCCCGTAACGCGACATCTCCCTCTCTGTTTCGCCCTTACCCTCCTCCACCACCTCCTTCTACTACTCTTATATATACAGACTTCTCTTTTTATCCATCTGCCACCTTCGCGACACGGTGAAGCGTGCGCGGCGACCGGATAGGAAGGGGAAGCCACGAGGTCGGAAAACACGGAAATTACGGAGTGAAAAGATGGAGCATTATCGAGCGTAAGTGGATCGAATACCCGGCTCCAAACTCGTTCCTAGGATAGAGTCGCTAACGACCATTCGTGCGCGATTTGCCCGACAGCCGCCCCTCGAAATCGCTGTTATTTCGAATCGAAGGAAAAAAGAATAAAAGGGAAAAAAGGGAAACGAAACGGAAGCTTAGAGAAAAAGAGACGGACATCGTGTGCGAAGAGAGGGAGTACAGAGGGAGAGAAGGAGAATCGCGAACGACGGAAAAATTGTCGCGCAAAACCGACGCGACGCGACCACCGATACGCACGAGTCGACGCGCGGAATCTCCTTCGAATTTCTATCGACTTTCTTCCTTCTTTCTACGATTTCATTTGGTTTCTATTCATCGGAGGATCTATCGGATCGAGGGACAAAACGACGAGGAGGAAAAGCCGCGAGAAAAGAGCGCAACTACAAAGTTGCAGCCTGAGTTTTCGCCAAAAGCTTTGAACGTGGCGCGCTCTCATGGCAACGATACGAGGCAGCTGTGCCGTTTCATAAAATGGCTGACTCTCTCGTTTCTCCTCTTACACTTTGTCTCTATTCCGTTGTTCTAGGCCGCGAAAGTTTCGCATGCGAGACGCGTCTAGGAAAAATCCCTCGCGCGAATCTTCCTCCCCTGATCGCGTTTTTCAAAGGGTTCGCGCCATGGATTCGTCGTGTCGCGTTTTCCTCGCGATCTATCGATCCTCTTTCGAGAAAAAGAAAAAGAAAAACTCGGGCGACAATTGTTTACGCGTCTAAGAATGCAACTGTACGACGCTGGGTCAACGAAATTCGATGTTACACGCCGACCATAAAGATCTCGTGCATTATGGAGGAAGCGCGTACTTTCGTATAGCAGTTCGATGCGTCGATCTTGGAAAGATTCGTGGAAAATGAAGAATTCCTCAGCGTGGATAGATCGGTCGGTCGATTCCTATCGTAGGCAATAGGCGCGCGCGAGAGGTGGAAGCGATTACAATTAGAATGGTTACAAACACAAGCGTGCAGCGGCCGCGTGACGTTCACGTGAAGAATGCCAGTGCTTAATGGCCGCTCCATACTACTAATTGCTCGATCGAGTACGATTACAGTTTCAGCCAGTGGCGGAAAGTGGCGAACGGAGCCGTCCATTACGCTCCTAGATATCGGCCTTACCGTACGTTGCTCGGCACCGAAACGCCTCGCGTCCGCCCTCGCTTCGATCGTTTTCTCATCGGCGATCGAATCGGTACAGGATGCTGCAGACGATGGCATATTTTCTGGATACTGAGTAGCCGGCTGGTTAGCCGTCTCCTCGAAATATCGCAGACGTATAAAATTGTCGCGAGGAGGGTAACGCATGCAAATAGAAAATAGAAACGAGTTTAGAAATAGCGTCGCCGGTCGACGACGGCCTAGAATTCGATCGGACACAGCCCCTCGCGACACTGTTTCGAGTTACTTGGAACGCGCTCCGTCTCGACCGAATCCTAATAAATAAGTATCTCGGTCCGTCGCCGGAAGAAGACGAACTATCCACCTATGTATGCTGGTAATAGGTATTACAAAGGATCTAGCGTTTTTTCTTTTTTTTTTTTTTTTCTTGCCATGCATTCACGCTCGTTACAGAAGGCAGCGGCGATTCGAAAGTATCTCATTAAACGATGAATAATACATTAGACATCGACGTGATTAAAAGCACCCTATAGATGGCCTGCAGACGTAGTTACACTTCCTTGAATGCAGCATCCTGCCGGAAAAATATTGCCCGGCTAATTGACTAGTCCCGGTTGGGGTTCAACGTTGATGCGAGGGACAATACTAGCTCGCCCGCGACTTCCTTCCTACGTGGAACGAGCGAGTAAACGCGAGTACTACTGGCGTCGCGTAGAAACTGCGCTCGGTAGTGGTTTCATTCATAAACTCGTGCGAGTTTAGCGAGGAAACGTTTGCACGCGTTAACGAGGGAAACGCTTCGCGCGCTCTAAACGCGTTCAAACTCCGACCGGAACGTCTATCTCATTTCCGTTCAGCATACCGCATCGAAACGGTAAGGAATTTACGAATTTTCTTGCCCGGTTCTTTAACGCGTCGATGCCTTTACTACGATACGATGACAGAAGCTTTTCTTTTCGCTCTTCCGCTTTTCCCCCGAGACCGCGGTCCTTCCCGAATGAAAAATTAGAATCGTGCGCGACGAACGGAAATGACACGGAAGAAAAACCCGGCGAGCGAACGCAATACGCGCAATCTTGGATCTCGATTTTCAAAGTGCGGTGACCCTTCAGGCTTGGGCGGAACTCCTTCGCTTCCGGTGTTGTTCCGACGCTGCTATTTCTATATATAAACCCACACGCTTTTGTTGGCGTACACCTACGGCACATACGCTTCTATATGTCACCGTCAAACGGCCCTGCGTGCCAACTGGGCTATCTCGTCGTTCCACCAGACGACCGCTCCTTCGTTACTATAACGAATCGTTTTTCGTTCGCGATCTCTTACTGCGATTCGTGTAAACCATTTCAGCCAGACTAGTGCTAAATTATCTGCGAGATGTAGGTTTACACGATCGGTTAAAGAAAACTAAAAAGTTTGAAACGGAGTCGGATTCGTAGAAAATGGAGCATCGAACCGAAATTGTACTCACGGTAGTCAGCTTCTCGATCCTTTGCACGATCTTGCATTCCGGTATCGTAGATCCCTTCGTTTGCCCGTTCATTTGGCACAGAATCGTTACGAGATAACTTTGGACAATTGACTCGATCTTCCTACGACTTCCACCACTAGGAGGTCGGCGATTACTTTTTGTCGAAAGTTCGTTGGCACGTGGGAATAGTGGGAGGGCAGCGGAGTCAAAAGGTCGGTCGCGGTGTCGCGACCAGTGGAACGTTCACCTAAAACCGCTGGATCGAAGAAGAAAACCGTAGAATGAATGATATCTACGAGGTTCTCCTTTGCTCGTTAAAACACGTTGCTTCGCAAGCTGTCGGCGGAAGAACGCGAGACCGGAAGGAAGACGAAAGGAATCGTACGGTAATGAGGACGCGTCGTCCCAGAGGATACAATGTGGTAACTGTTACGTAATGACCAGCACGCGTTGCATGCGACAGGGGTGGCGAGAGAACGGGGCGATCAAAGCGGCACGAGACAGGGAAGGAGAAGGAGCCCCGGTGGCAATGGCCAGGGAAAGATAAGTTTCCGAGATCGTCGAGGAGAAAATTTCATTCGTCAAGGACGTACCATCGTCCCAGCGTCTGGGACGGTGCGCGGAAAGGTCGATGAACCAAAACCAAAATGCGGAACAACTGCGAAACCGTGGTCGCCGTCACGCGGCATGTAAAGGAAAGAACACGCATGCGTTACGAGTCACGAAATCGGTGTGCGTGGCGAAAATCACAGCAACGGGAAGTCTAGGTTTCCGGTAGTGATCGGATATCGACACTGTCGCGATGTCGTAGCCGGAGCACAGGGGTTAATTTACGTTCGATTCGATTGGCGTGACGCGTCAACGCGAAACTCTCGTCATCGTGAACGGTCGTCGGATTGGCGTCGCGTCGCGTCGCGTCGCGTCGCGTCGCGTCGCGTTGCACGTGCGCCACCGCATCGGAGACGCGCAGGGCAAAGTGCATCGTAAGACTGCTGACGGGTGCAGCACCGGTGCTCCGGCTTTCCGATGCAACGCACTGCCCCCCGTCCCCTCGACCCCTCGTCCTCTCCGTAGGCCCCTTCCTCTTTCACTCGACCGACCGTGCGCACAACCACCACGGACTAACACACCACGTGATCAGCCCTTTAACTTTAGCAGCCGATTACCGCACTACTCGCGACCACCGACGTTTTCTCTATCGTCCTTTTTTCTTTCTCCATCGTTTTCCTTCCACCTTTACCTCCCTCTCCCCTGTCGCCATCGGCAGCACGCTTTTCATTCCCTTCCATTCTCTCCTTCTGCCTACCTGCTGTTTAACGTTACAACGCATCTGCATCTCTCCTCTCCATCCCTTCCTCTCCCTTTCTCGCCTTTCAACGATTTTCCTGTATATTTTGCTCGAATGAGTATCACCTCTTTCTCCGACTCGAAGAAAGTTCATGTCTCTCTCCTCCCTCCCTCCCATCCGCCCACCCAGATTCGACTAGTCCATCGTCGATGACTGCGTCATTTCTATACGAAAGCACCGTTCTTTTTTCTCGCTCTGGTGATTCTCTTTCTTGAATACCGATGCGTCCCTGTCGGTCGGCATCCCCACCAGAGGATTCGGGTCGACTCGATGCACCGGGAAACCGAGCGACGATCTACAGCCGTCTCTGTCGCTCGGCTCCATTCATGCCTCGACTCTCTTCGGGTTATGCAACTTTGGCGAGACGCGAGACGCGGGACGAGGGGATGCGTCGACCCGCTCCGATACTGCACGCTCGTTTCACCGAATCTTGCGCCTCGCGGACAACGAGAACTCACTTACCGGACTAACATTCCCGGTCGGTGCACGTCACGTCTACGTATTCTTCATCTATCGGGAATACGTACGACGCGTCAACGATCGAATGTTTCCCTTCGCCGTTCCCGATCCCCGGCTTCCGGTAACCATCTACTTACCTAAAGTTTCTCTTTACGCGTTTCAGGATAGACTTGGACGGAATTTCGCATCGAATTCAGGGTAGTTCGTTCGTACTTTGCTTTTTATTGCATCTTATACACATAATGTATCAGAATTAACAGAGGAAAGTTTCGCACGTTTCACTTGCTCGTAAGGCAAATTGATTCGAATCGAACACCGATCGACTTGAAAAACCTCTCGCTTCTCGATCGTGGATATGTTCTCGCTTAACACTTGGTTAACAAACCCAAATCTCTCGAACAGAAACGACGACGACGACGACGACGACGACGACGTTTGGATCGAGATCACGGACGAAGGCTACTTTGCTCTCGAAACGCTCATCTAGTTCCTCTAATTTTTCTACGTGTAATACTAACGCGTGAATTCCTTAAATCTATCCGAAGATTTGTCAGGAGGAAACCTTGTTCCAGGTATCTTACGTGTAATCGTTTAGAACGAAGAACCGCACGAGACATCGATGCGTGTTTCGTTGGAACGGCAGACGAGTGTTCCGTTAAGTAGATAAGAAAATGAAAAGAAAGGCAATGCGGCAAGATGGCAGTTTGTAAAACTTACGCGTCTAAACGGAAAGGAAACGCATCGATACACCCAGGTCCACGAACGGGTGAAAACTTTTTGGAAACGACGCGACGATTACGTAGCCGTGTACTCGGTGTACTCGAGACGGCTACACGCGTGTCGTGCGAAACACGCATCGAGATTGCGACGTTCCTGCTATCCGTGAGAAAGCTCGTTCAAAAGAAAATAGTGTAGAGGGAATCTTGCGCAACGTGGCAGGGAACCGCACCGATTCTTTACGTTCGCCTTCCCGAACGAACATTGGCAAACGTGTCGCAAGCTTTTCGTCGATTTCACTTGCGTTTCCGGTGTCAACGAAGCAAGCTTCGCGAGATTACCGTCGAACGAGAAGAAAAACCGTGAGAAGCAATTTGTTTATTTCCCTGAGACAGTGGAAGTTCGATGCCACGAACGGGATCAATTCGTCGCCTGATTGATTTCTGAATTGACTTTTGTGAACTGACCAACGGGGGACTAGATTCATGGAAGTAAGGTGTCTCGATGGATCTGATCGACGCGGGTAATTCGAGATTGACTGTGCGCGTGACGCTAGCTTTAAACTCTCGGTGCCAGCGAAACGACAAATTTATCTAATACAGCTAAAGTGACGCGAGATAAAAGTGATTAGGAATTTTGCGACCGACGGAGTCACGAAGAGGAAATCAACATTCTCGCGGAATACTTGAAGTGAATAGGAGTGGAATCGTGTTCCGTCTCCATCGCGAGTTCTCTCTAATTTCGCGCGCGACAAACGATTTTTACCCTAATCCGACGTCTAAGGACATCATTATCAGGAACCCAACGATGGCGGCCCAGCTGGCGAGTTTACTGTTTCCACTGCAATCAGAAAGGAAGAAATACGTATTGTTTAAAGAGTCCAATTGTCGACGGAGAGGAGCATGCTTTCCCACAGCTAGGCAGAGGAGACCAGGTGACGGTGATATCGAGAATTCGATGGAGAAACGATCGTCGAGAAGGAGAAGGAGAGGAACGGCGAATGAAAAATACGACGATGGAAATATATGAAATCAGCGCACGAAAACGAAATACGCGCGCAAGGTGCAGGTACAGAGAGGTGGCACAAGCGGCGGAGATGAGAGAAAGAATAGCAGGATGGCGAGAAATAAAAGGCTTTTCGTGCTATAAGTAGGGATTAAGCACACACAAAGCACACACGCTCGTACCCGATATTGCACGTCACGGCTTGTTGATTTCGTAAATTATACACGGCCATCAATTTTAACGGCCGGTGAAATGCGCCGTTGTGTTTCGGTGGGCGTTCTACCACATCAATCATATCCGCGCGGTAAATACCTCCTTTCGGTGTGCCTCAGAAATTTGTATTTTTATTAGCCATTATCGTCCTCGTGTCCGTCTGGTCGCTACGAGATTCCAGAACGAACGGCATTCCCCGTCCTCGTCGTTATCGCGGCTCTTTCGAACGATCAAAGGATCGTGCGAATTGAGAAGAATCGAGCGGAAGGACGAAAATCGAAAATCGCGCCCGTCCATTCGTGTGGACATTCACCTTTCTATTCCCCCTCGTCTTTCTTTCGTGTGAAAAAAAAAAAAAAAAACAAAATAAGCCAGCGAAGCAACGGTTTACCCGTTAGAAGGGTAATACATTTTCACTTTTGTATTTTCCAGGCATCGTAGGGTTCCCGAGGGAGCGGACCGAGCTTTGGTATCTCAGGTGTAACGTGCACACGCGTATATACTGTACTCTCGGGTATCCGAGCAGGACGGTTAGATCGCAGGCGAAATACAAAAGAAGGCAATTATAATGACAATGCGCCTTCGGCTAGGTGGTCGGGCCTGGGAAAGAAATTCGTTGCGTCCGTTTTACCGATGCCAAGCTAACTACGCCACTGTCGATATCGAGATACTTTTCGAATTCGTACACTTCCTTCGCGTTTTCGTGTAAGGCGAACACGACGAAAATTCCATGCAACGGTAAGAAATCGTACGAACCTTTGATGCGCTTCCGGGATGATGTCGTCGATCACCACGTAGATCATTGCACCGGCTGCGAAGGCTAGCGCGTAAGGCAGCATAGGTTCGGCGAGCGTCACTCCGGCTGCGCCAAGCACGCCGGCCAGTGGTTCCACCATCCCTGACAGTTGACCGTACCAGAAGCTCTTCAAGGTGCTGATACCCGCCGATCGAAGTGGCAGAGACACCGCCAATCCTTCGGGAAAATTTTGAATGCCGATACCGATCGCGAGATTCCTGGAACAGAAAGTCCCGGCGAGTTTCAGCGAAAGAAACGAGAAAGGAAAAGGTGTATCGTTTCGATCGCGATAAAAATAAAAGCGACGAGACAAGGTGGCTCTTTGCACGAGCCAACTCTCCACACTCTGCCCCTGGTCGCGGTGGCTTCTTGAAACTGGTCGACGGCTTCGACATTCTCTAGATTTTTCCAGTTGCTCCAGCCGCGAGCTACCTTGGACGCGCTTGCTGCTAAGCTAATAATCCCGTTCCCTGGCTATTCCACGAATCCTCTCTTAATCTTACGGAACAGAGTGAAATTTTCACCTGTCGCGTAAAGCGACCGATCGATCTGTTTCTTCTAAACGAACGAACTTTTCAGTTTCTAACCAACATTCCATCGGGTTCGTCTACTCGTTTACCGTACGTCGCGTCGGTACGGATCGATAATGGTGATATACGAGGCAACGATCGATACCGCGGAGAATTAACGAAGAAAGTCAGACGGATTGAACGAAAGAAGATAAGGTGAGGAGGGTAGAGGGGAATGCGGCAGAGCGAGCTACCTAGCAGGTGAATGAACCAACACGATCCTGTGTACGTGTATATACGTAACGTTCGCGCGCAGACAAGAAGACGCGAACACTGGCATACCGTACTGCCACTTCGCGGCAAGGCCTTTCAAGCCTTTTAAATCGAACGATTCGCGACTTGCGGGAAACGAAGGTATATCCAGACGAGGGAAAAGAAAAATTCCTCGAATCGATGGAATTTTCTAGGATATGGATTCGGATCGAATCGCGAGACAGAAGAAAACGGTATCACGGATTCGACGGAAAGATCCGAGTCGGATAGATGAGATCGGACAGCCGGTAAAACAAGGGAACGAGGCGAAATATAGGGAGCCGACCGGTGGAATTTGATTGAGAAGTTAAGGATGATCGAACGCGAAAGAGGAGCTTGTCTGGAGGAGAGGCAACCGAAAGGGGAGAAGACAGGGGGTAGAAAAAGAGGGGTCGATAGCGTAGACGAGGTGTTTCAGGTATATCGTCGGCGATCGTTTAAAATTTCGAAAGATGGAACAATAGATTGGTTGGTCGGTTGGCATAGAACGGTGAGGTGGCTGTTGTAGCAGGTGAATGAATGACGCGATCCAAGCTCCTCCTTCCGATGCAGGATCCACGGTATAGATCGCGCTCTCTCGTACAGGCTGAGCACATGGTATGGTGTATGTCATGCCATGCGACGCGACGCGCGTTATTTCATGGGATGGCATCGTCGTCGCGTTCCTACGGCATCGACGTACATAAGTGGTTGTACAGTTAACCCGTCGGGTCCGGCTGTTCGCCGGTTGCACCAGGGGAGGTCACCCGACTTCCAAGAACGAACCTCTCCTTCTACCACCCTGGCTTCGCCTTCTTTTCTCTTTTCCTCTCTCCCTCCTCTCTTCTCTTCCCTTCTGTTACGAGTTCCAAGCGTTTCTACGGTTTCTTTTCCTTCTTCGATACTTCCTTCTGATTTCCACGGTCACGTCGGCTGCTCTTGGTACCCGATTTCATTTTTCATCTAACGATCGATTTCGAAAGACTTCCCGACACTCCTTCCGTTCGCTCGCTTTCGACGCGTTGATAATAAAATTAGCAGTTTACGGAACGATTAACCCGATTGACGCACGTGTGCCAAAGTAATGTTTGAAGAGGCCATTAGCCGGTATCTTCTCCTTTCTTCTCCAGTTGCCGCTCGTTTCTAGATTAGAAAGCGTTTATCGCTACTCGGCCAGTTACCAACTATGCTTCTACGTGATTCGCGAAAGAGAGAGGGATACCTTGAACCAACACGTCCATTCATAAATTTTTTAATACTTTCGCCACTGTTGTTTAATTCGCAATCCTTGTCATCGGAGTTTTACATCGAGAAAACGAGATCGCGATCGAGAGGTTTGCCTTTTAAATTAGAAATCGATCGATCGCCGGAGGAATTGCGCGAGGGCGTCGCGCTGTCTCGGGAGTCGAAAACGGAGGATCTCCGTTGGCGGATGAAAAAGAGGAGATCTCACCAAACTGGTTAGCTGTCTATTAGAGGAAATGAAAGGAAAAAAGTAGCACGAGTTTGGTACTGGTGCTCGCACGAGTCAAAGTCGAAGCAGAACCGTACACCGTTATACGCGCATATTCGATCGAGCGCTAACTCGGTGGTCTAGCGAGAGGACAAGCGTAAAAATTTTCTTGCCCGAATGAATCTAAAGAAATTGGTCGCTCCAACTTGGCCGACTATATCGAACGTAACAGCGCGGTTTACCGGTGTGTACCAACATGGCGGACGAATGGCTTCGTTGAACGCATCAGAGTCGCCATTTTGCATTCCATAAGGCCGCGGTTGTCCTTACGTGGCAACACCTATCCTCTCCGTCGTGGTCGTGCAACGACCGAAAGGATCGTAAATTACTTTTCCCGAGATCTTTGACCGTAGAAATATCCGACAGCTGTTATTCAACTTCTCTACGACATCGGGTGTCCAACTCCGCGACGAGCTAGGACGTCTCGCGGTCGTCCTCGCGATAGGAGAAAGAAAAGGAGCTAAGAGATAGTTTCGCTAAAACTAAATCGTCGCGCCATTTATACGCGATCGGTCACCGTGCGTTCACCAGCACGAATTCCATCGATCCCTCGCGTAACCCGACTACCGTGTCGAGGCAGCGGCAAAACTCGATCATCCGGGATACGATAACGAGCAATTTTTCGCGTCGAATCGCGACTTTGAAAGGAAACGCGTGCTCGGGTCGACCGGGGCTAGAGAAAATCGAAGCGATGTTCGAAAGAAAGGCGAAGAAACTTTCGGATGGGACACGGTGGCACCGCGATTGGTGAACCTGAAAGATATAGATAGAGATAGACGAGGGATAGGGATTTGCCGAGGAGGGAAGCGTATGTTCGTTACACGTATAAACGTGGCTGGTGTACGAGAAAAGTAAGGAGCGAGCAAGACAAAAAGGGGATAGAGAGGCTGGGGGAAAGGGAGCGAAGGAGCGATCTCGGAGAGAGGAGATAGAGAATGTGTTAGTTTGTGTGTGTCTCTGTGTGTGTGAAAGAGAGAAGAAGAGAGAGGGGGGGATGAAGAAGGGGGCGCAAAGATGAGAGAGCGAGGGGAAACGAGAGAGGGAGTAAGGAATGCATGGGAACGAGGCGCAAGCGGGCCGACCGCGATTTGCCCGTCCCGCATTCCACCAACGCCAAGCTGAGCTCTCCGACTCTTCTCGGCTCGGAGTCCCGAGGCCACCGGCCACGGTCTAACACCGTAAAATCATAAGTCCAAGATCAACCCCGTTCTTCTCTACAACCAACCTCCGGTGTATCCTTGCGCGGTCTTATCCTGAAATAGAGAGGAAACTAGCCGATTCTACTGAAAACTTTTCTATTCCACGTTTCTTAGGTATCCACGTCGAGAGGTAGTTTCGTTTCAATTAGCTGAACGTGGAACAACAATAACGGCGGAGCGTTTTAAAGCGAGACAGGCAAGGTGATTGGCCGAAGGGCAACAAGATACCGAAAGCAGGTGTCCGCGGCGAGTTTGACGGGCGGGGCGGAAAGAAATGGCTCGATTTGCAAAAAAAAAAAAAAAAAAAAGACGCTAGTTTTGTCGAATAGTTTGCAGAAGCGATCCCGAGGTCGTCGTCAAGGGACATAACGGATCCGGCTGTTGGTCTGTTCCGAGTAAGGTACGCGGCGCGCATGCGTAATGCCGCTGCATTCCAAGCATTGCGAAGTCGCTGCACCGTGCACCGCCGCGCCGGTGCATCGGCCGATGCCAGAGAAAGAGAAACGAATTAACCGAGACCCCAAGTGGGACAGAGAGAATTGAGAGAGAGGAGAGGAGAGTGCCGTAGCAAGTTACAATGACAAACGTGCTCGTCGATCCTTTACTCGATCGATTCTTCCCCGATTTTCCAGAAAACTGCATCCTATCGCGCCCCGTCTTTATCCTTTCGATCGGTAATCGTTCGGTATCCGGAAACGAGACAGGAAAAAGGGTTAAGTAGAGGAGGGTGAGTCGCGAGTTGGCGAGCTCGGAGCAGGAAACACGAGTCGAGAAAAAGTATCGGAGTGTCGCTAGCTTAGAGAACGTCTCGCGAGTCAGGTTCTCAGAATCCTTCGTCCGTGAACAATAGCGGTTCAACGAATGTACGTGGTAATCGGCTAGACGAGAGAATCTTTGGCTGTAATTCGTAAGATAATCCGAGACAACTGTAGCCAAACTATAATCTAAACACGAAGGCTCCGGACAAACATGCCGGGTTAATGAATTTCGTCTACAACAGAAGGCACTTTGTCGCGAAGAAGGTACCGAGCCGCGTACCTATCGCGCCGCACGTGCACTTATAACGCTGTTCAGCGAGGCTAAGCGGGAAGCAGTATATCGTAACCGACTTCCGTTGCTATTAACGCACGTCAGTACTGGCTTTCCGCGTGCGATAAGCACCAGGTACAAAGTGCAACGATTACGAAAACGATAGAAACGGTTTCTTTACCGAGCGAATGTAACTCGGCTCCGTACTCGTGGCCGAAAAATCATACGATCGATTCGAGGAGTAAGGTGGTTAACGATGCTAGAATGGTTGGAAGGTAGCAAAGGTAGTCGGTGTGCAAGTCGAGAAAAAAAAGAACGTTGCGAGTTAGAAGGAGGAAGGGTAAAAGGCGAAGAGAAAAGAGCGGTCGAGTAAAAAGGAAAGAGTAGAGAGACAGGAGGACAGAGAGGAACCGTGAGCTCTGGTCGGTCGGTCGGACGGTATATAATAAGACAGACAGGAGGATAGCACCGAAATGAGGTGGTTTCGTCGGCAGCTTTGTCCGGCGCCATGTTTAACATAGCACCACCTCATCTACGTGCCACGCCGACCCGCCACTCCGTAGTTCCTCTGTTTTTACGCCACCTCTTTCTCGATCTCCTTTCCATTCCTCCTTCTTCACCGTTTCCTCTATTACAACACTTCTCTCTCGCTACGCGACGGCATGAACGAATCGAATCTCCTCGCCCTTCCCGTACAAGGTGATTATTATCAAGCAACGTCGATCGCGAACAAACGATGACGATCGATTTGCTTTTTCTCGGCTTATTAAACTCGCAACAGAGAGCGTGTGTACAGGGTCGGAGCTACGCGAATCTCCAAAAGGTCGGGGGGAAAAAAAAAGGAAAAGGACGAATCCAGATTCCGCGAAAAATCGGGGCGGCTCGAAAGGTGAGTCAGTACCAGATCTCCTTGAGCGTTTTACGAGCGCAAATATCCTCGTTCCTATCGGCTGCCCACCTTTCCATCCTCCTACCAACCAACCTGTGTGCGTACTTTTCTCTTTTTCTCGCTCTATTTCTTCTCCCTTCTTCCTCCGCTATAACTCCAGACAGACGGTACGACGATCTACCGTATAAACTGCGAAACCTTTCATTCATGATTCTTTGCCCGTCTCGAATGGAGCTCGACTAACCTTTCCTTGAAAAGGACACGTATCGCTCGAAGCATTGCCGTGGTAAAAATTCATTTCCATCCTCGACACGATGTTTTCCATTTCAAAAAGCTCTCGCATACAAAAGTTCGTACCGTTTAGCCGGCCTCTGAACGTACGTAAGGGTCCAGCAGGCTGGATCGCGCGATCGTCGTGAGAACGGAATGTCGCTCGTTACGAACGAGTTGGGCTACAAAAGGGCATGCTGGGTCGATAAATGCTGAAGGCTGAGTGATTTTCCGAACGAGGACGCGCGTTTGTTGCTCCTCGCTCCTCGAAACAGGTCGGTCGCGTTACTTCGGAGGAACGAGCTTCTTTATCGCGAATCGATTCAACTTCTCTAAGCGACCTCTCGCCGTTTCTTCCCTCTCGATCCGTTCCCGTAAGGAATCTTTCTTTTCCACCTAGGTCGTGTCACGGCTTACGAATCAATAATCGTTGAATAATTAAGAAGAATACGTATCGTTAATTGCTCGTTCGAGAATTATTTGACCGAACAACTTTTCTCCGGACGACGATAAACGACCTAAAGAAACACGCGCATCGATAACGATGTACGCATAGCACGAACTGCTGCGTGGCGATACGCACCGCTCCGATCTATCGGCTGGGGTCATCTTTCGGACCGAGCCAACGTTTCATTCATAACCGGGAAACTTGCGCGAGATACCGCTTTTACGTCGTTCCCCTTATCGCGGACTCTCTCGAATATCAGAATGAACAAAATAACCTCGAACAACGTAGATCCTTGCACCAGAATCCCGTACGCGGTTCAAAGTTTCCTTCGATTTCCAATCATTTTTCCCTTCCCGTAAGGTCCCGAGACCTTGCTCCTTTTCGTTAGCTTTCCCTTCCAACGGATTCCAATCGGCTCGATCGTTCTATCTGGATTTCTTAATTATATCGCACGGTAGAAAGGAAAACGCCGACACGATCCGCTCATTCCACGGATTCTTAATGTGCCTCCAACGCTTGTAATCTTCGCTTCGGGACGTTCGAGCACAGCGTCGTTCGAATGCTTCGGAATTCGGGCTGAACTCCGTATCGAGAAATCGTCTCGACCAGGAGCATTCGTTTTATCTTTTTCTTTTTTTACCGTCCGTTTTCATGCCGATCGATCGCGGAAAACGGGAACAAAGCTACGCGGAGTACGTTCGCGTACGTTAACGAACGATCCACGATGTAGCGAGCTATTCGCGTACACGGCCAATCGTACCGATAATTATAATCACATTTTCTCCGCTGTTTGTAAAGAAGTTTCGTTTCGTTCTTTCGATAAGAGTGTTCTTAATGAATTTTCAGTGGAAAAGATTCGAACGAATACGGGGCGAGAATAAAAAGCATAACTCCGGCCTATCTTTGAGTGAAAAAGAGGAGAACAAGAGGAAGGTCCGAGATAGGAGAACGAGCGATTATCGTTGACATTTTCTATAAATAAGGTTTACGTTATTCGCTCGACTTCGGTGGAAATGAAAACAACGTCATCCAGATGTGTTAGTCGTACACGTCACCGTAGGCATCTCGCTGCTCCAAAGTTAAAGGCGCGTAAGGAGACCGGAGTTCGGGACAAGTCTCCAGGAGAGGAGAAGAGGAGGAGGAGAGAGGCGAGCTGGAATGGAATGCGCGGCGCCTAGGGCTCGTTGAATTCCAGGGCCACACGTGCCCTTCCCCTCGCCGCGGGCACACACCGCTGCCAATAAACTTCGCCTGCGGCTGGCACTCGCGCCGACCACCATAGAACTCATTCATGGAGACCTCCTATCACGCGCTCATAAATTGCGCCTCTTGAAATTCACCGACCCTGCCATCTACCGGCAATTCGATCAACTTGCTCGAATCTTTTAACTCGATATTTTACCACTGTCGATAACTCGATGGCTCCAATTAGGGGTACACATTTTTATTTTTATTTTTTATTTTTTTCATAGAAGAAGAAAATAAAATGAGTAAAAAATATTGATATAATTTGAACGTTTCGAACATGTTCTCTGAGAATGTTTGAAGCGATCGGTTTAACCGTTCAACGCCGGGTGATTTGTTATAATGAATTTGATAGGCATGATTGATCTAACCGAACGACTTTAGATTGCACGTATTAAAGTTTGATCGAAATATAGTTATAGCCTACTCTGGATACTATTCATAGCGCAGTGATCCGCTACTAAAATTCTATTTCCACCGTATTTTTTAATGGCGCAATATCGATAGACGTACTTACTTCCTTTATCTCCTATTTTACATACAATTAACACCCCATCGATAACCAGCGTACGAGATTTACGCCGAGATATTCTTGAGATTCGTTAAAACGTAAACGTTTCGCTTACCTTGCATTTTCAAAAGTTGCTGATGCACTACTGCCTACTGCCGCGAATCCGACTCCAACTGCAAGCCCCTCTGGAATGTTGTGCACCTAATTTGATGCAAAAGTATGATTTTGATAAACTTATGATATATAGACTTTGACCATTATTAAATTTACGTACCGTAATAGCAACGACTAGCAACAATACTCTTCTCCACTGATTATTTTTGCATTCATTGTTAGGATCCTCGTAAACTGCCCCGACTTCTCCTTGCTCTTCTGGTCTGTTTATCCTTGCGATTTGACGCCTTCTGCTATTTTGTTCGTAAAAACCTAAAAAACGGCATTGGTTTACTGGCATTTTAGCATCGCAACATTTTGTCATAAATCACAGTAATCACAGAAATCAACAAGTAAGCTTAGTGTATGTAATTATAAGCGATAAATTTTTCTTTCTCTCCGTTATTCTTGCGACAAAGCAAGCGAAAAGCTTCTGTAAAGCTTGTGAATTGTTTAGCCCGGTGTGTTTCATTTGCTTTAACGTTTCGCACGTTAGATCCGCAGGCAGGATTAATAAGATCAGTTTTGTCAATTCGTGGAATTTTCGTTCGGTATGTAGATCACATGATATACCGATATAACTTACACGCTAATTGCATTACGCTGACGATGCAACTAACTCAAACAACCGGATACTATATTTGTGTTTCTTTTTATCGTGCATACTCCTTTTGTTGCTCTCAGAATATTTGCATGCGTACGCTATTGTGTTTTTTAATATAAATTTCTATATGCGAAGCAATCTAACGCGTTAACAAACGTACCAAACGATAAAAATAACGTAAAATTGGAGAAAATTGTTAGGAGGGAAAACGATATACTTATCAGAAATAAAAAAAAAAAAAAAAAAAAAAAAACACGATTAATTTACCTCGCTAGGAAAAGCGCGTACGATGCATGCGTCGATGCAATTGTTTATTTCTGAATAAGTTTATCGTTTGCTTTGTATGAAAAAGCGAAGAGGGGCGAGTGTACATTGACGTATACAAATAGAGACATAATATAATACAGGTGTATCGTGAACTGATCCCATTTTCCAAGCCTACAGAGAGAATTGGATGTTACAAGTAAAAAGTAAGATACCATCTATGGTGGTCGACTCAATTTGTGTATACATTTTTCCATCGGATAACTGTACGTCGTTATACTGATCATAATCGTCTAAGTCCTCGTCACTCTTTAGTTTTGCAAGGATCTTGCGTCTTTGTTTCGTACCGACTGACTGCATAGCTAAAAGCACATTGGGGGACTGAATGCCGAGGGAAGATATCAACGCGTCCGTCCCGTAAACGAAAGCCGCGCCTACGAGAAATCCAACTCCAACCGGTACGAACGCGTATTCGCCTTCTGATCCGTAAACGTTGCTTTTTGCGGCCATTTCGATGGCAGGTGCCAGTAGAGACCAATAACTTGCCGCTACCATTACGCCTGCCGCGAATCCTAGGCTGACATCCAACAGTTTACGCTGAAACAAAATCAATTTCATCCTTTCAGTTTTCACCGATTATTCCTCTTTCGTCATTCATCGTTCACCTTCGTAGTCGACGAATTTTATTTTCTGTCTGAAGTTAAACAGCGCGCTTACCAAGGTTGATCAAGGAGAAAAGGATTAATTATAGGAAGAAATAAAGTAAATTGAGAAAATATTTGTTCAACGCGCTATAGATTGTAAAGTAAGTTTTTTCTTTTCGATGGGTTTTATCTTTGTTTCTCAATTAACAAAATTTAGAGATAGAATGGTAAATGTAGATTATCAGATGACGTCGATACAGATTACATTGGTATGTAAGATAACCTTGAATCAATTGGAATTAAAATTTGAATTGTATATTATTTTTCGGCGATAGGAGGTTTAAGTAAAATGAATTGTATCGATATACATTTTGATGATAATTTTATACTTTAACGACGAGCGGAAAAAAATTGCTCGACTTTAACAATAATATAGCATTAAGATTAATTAAAATTGAGATTTATTCAGTGAAGCAATAAAAACCGCGTATCGATACGTGATATCTTAACGAGACGAATAAAATTGCACATGAATTTCATTATAATATAAATTTACCTTGAGAATAGAATCGTAACGACTTTTAAAAAATGACCACCTTCCCGCGCAAAGGGAGCACTTCGGATAAGGTTAGAATGTGCTCCGAAAGGAGGATTAAAACTAAATATACTATCGTTTGTTTAGAATGAAATAAGATGAAAGATTGAACGGTTCGAAGACATTGTTCGATTATGAAAATAAGATAGAGGTGAATAAACTCACTTGTTTTCCACGAATTACGATGACGAGTGCGGCACCCGCTGCAGTGAGAGCCCACGTAAATAACGTTCCTAGGAGCGCCTGCGTGATCGGCGAATAATCCTTTAACATTGTGTCAATCGTACAACCCTCGGCACCTTAAACTATACCACATATCCTCTGCAACGTGCACCACGAGAAACTGTTTCGTGGGACACAACATCCGCTGATGTGCATTCAGTCCCCCGCACTTATCTCAACCGCCACCACCACTACTGCCTTCATCGGCACGGTTACTACCACCAGCGAACAACAGTGCTGCTACTATCGTTTTATTGCTACCATCACACGCGCGCGCACATTCGTTCTGCGAGTTTGTCCCTACGTTTGTGAATCATGATCTCCGAGCAGGATACAACACAGAACGTTTACGTGAGACCGGACGAACATACTTGTACGACTTTACACCACACGTATGGGGTTGCTTCTACTTGTCGCGCGTCACGCCGAATGTAATTTTCGATATTCGACCAATCGAAACCTCGATTCGATAGGCCAATCTGGAAGTAGCATCTAGCCAGATGCGAATACACTCGAAATATCAAAATGTTGTTTAAATTTTTGAATTGACGAAAAGCTTGTATGTCAGATACGAATCTCTACTCTATTGTAGCATTTTAATTTAAAATAAAATGACGTACGTTTCGCGCTTTTTATGCGGTTACATGGCGCTATCGTCGATATATTTTCAATATTATTCGTTCAACGAAAGAACGTACCTGTTCTGCGCAGCTCAGAGATGCCCTCTACTCTTCTTTTTAACTTCGTGGCACTTTATGGCCGTATACACGGTGGACAAAAATATATGAATAGAGAAAGCAAATGATAATGTCAAAGCTCGAAGAGTTATTATAGTTCGTCCAACACGACGAGTCAGTAAATGTATGAAAATTCACGAGCTCGACGCAGATACGACTCACGCCGACCGAAGCGCTTGAAGAACTGTAAACAACTGCGCGTCGAACTTGCCTCGAGCACGTGGATTTGTATACACTGACTCGTCTTGTTTGCTGAATTATAAATCCGAACACTGGATATACTGCTCGATGTCATGATATGCATATGCAGTCAGAGTTAACATGCGCAGAACAAATAAAAACTCGTCGTATGACAGGTACGGTCTCTCGTTGAACGAATAATTAAACATGCCAACATGGCGTCTGCGTCGGTAAGTGCGAGGAAGGTTTTAACCCTTTCGATTTGTGTACATTGATATCAAAATGCATTTTTCTTTATAAAGTACTAATTTTTTCCAAGCGTGATAAGGGAACAGTTTTTAGCATACGAAAAGTTGATGTTACCTCATTGTAATATCGCAAAAACTATATTAGTGACGTTTGATTGTAAATTTCAGTATGTGTATTACTTAAAACATATTATTCAAATCGATATGCACAGATAAAAGATTTTTAAATATACAAAGTATCGTATCGCTTTATTTTTATGTATACGATCTTCTACTAAAGACAATGAATTTTGTTTTGCTCCTAGCATTGTGGTTATATACATACTAAGTTGCAATGTTATACATTTGTTACTGTTTAATCCACATCTGTCATTCCTAGGTTCCTTTACTAATGGACGACGATACAATCGCTTTTGGAGAAGAGGATGAAGCTAATCAAAATGGCAATAAACTCAAGTATGTTCCAATGCATAGGTTACAGTATCTAACCAGTTGTTCTTCAATAACATCTTGTACTTTTGCAGACATCCGTATGTCACCATGTTTCACTTGGTATTCAGAGTAGCAGCAGCAGTGTTTTATATATTCTGTGAATCGTTTTCAAGCAGTTTTGTAGCTAACTTTATAACTCTAGTATTACTTTTGTCAATGGATTTTTGGACAGTGAAAAATATTACTGGAAGATTGATGGTTGGCCTCAGGTGGTGGAATTACGTGGATGATGATGGAAAAAGTCACTGGGTATTCGAATCCAGAAAGGTTTGTTGTTAAGTTTTTATTTATATAAGCTGTTTATTTCAGAGGACCAGTTCAGGATAGTAGATTTCCAATTGTTACTCAGAATTGATGCCTTATATCCATTAATTCAAGGTTTATTGGCTTTCACATTGGGTACCCTTGACCTATTCTTCTTAATGTTATAATTATGCAGGAATTTATTGTTTCATTGTTCTTAGAAAACCGTTGTAGAAAAAGTTGCAGCTGCTCACCATGATATGCAAGGTCTACTATGTACCCTGTGTTTCAGGGTGTTCAACAGAACCGCATCAATTCCCAGGAAGCTCGTATATTTTGGTTGGCATTGATTTTCTGTCCGCTTCTGTGGTCGGTGTGGTTCGCAACAGCATTTTTCGGCCTTAAATTTAAATGGCTGTTGCTCGTGTGTATCGCAATCGCTCTGAACGGCGCTAACTTGTATGGATACGTGAAGTGTAAAATGGGAAAGGATCAAAACATCTCGGCAACAACGAGCAATTTCTTGAGGAAACAGGTCATACAAAATGTTGGTACATAGAACGTGTTATTTAAGTCGTTTGTAAACGTTTGGAATCATGCAAGATGTTTTATTACAGGTTGCATCTATGATGACCAGGAGTCCTCCTACAACCAATCCAAACGAACCGGCCAACATGATATGAGTTGTAAACTTTCAGACGTGATATTATTTAAATAGAACGCTGCCGTAAAAAGCATCGTACTGGAAACACTCTAATTTGTACATACGTATTAACGGGAATATTATTATTACTATATGTATCGACGAAACGATATAATAAAGTTGCTATTTAAATCATCTGGTTGTTGTTCTTTCTCGATCATCCTCTCCGAAATAAAATTGAACGTAACAATGGGTACGTTACGTTAGTTATTAGTTTATTAATGCCACATGGCAATACATAATGTACACATTATTTCTCCTCGTCAACAGACTTCCTATTACACAATATTTAATTTGTATAGGTGTTAATTAGTAACATTGCATTTATTATATTCACTTCAGCCTGTTGTATTCTTTCTGGCAAGAAAGTATCACAAAATAATTTCCCATTCTTTCAACGATTATTTAGTATTTGACTTATTCTTTGTGTCTTTAATTCACATTTTTCTGAGGATTAACGACTGCAACTGGTCGCAGTCTTAAGTCGAGTGGAACAACTCGAAACGATCTTACAATAGGGTAACAAACTCGTCGTGGTATTGCACGGAGCGTTTAATGGCCGATTATGCATTGTTAATGTTAGATACTGCTCCGAATACGCGAGTTGTATGCTTTTCAAGAAGAAGAATACAACAAACCACATATATTGCTATACATTTTGGGATGTAAAAAAATTGTAACACTAACAATAGACACGCAGCTAAAGTACAACGTACACAAAAGTTTTGGAATGATACAAATAAACGTAATAACGTTACGATCGGTACCTTATAAATATATGAATATCGTGGACTTTTTTGTATTGGTAAATTCATCGAATACAATTTAATTAAGCTACCAACTTATACAACTAGTAATATGTTTTATACAATCATTTAACTTTTCATTTTTCCATAATATTGTATTTTTAGTTTGGAACTTTGAAGCGAAGTTGTCGACCGTATTGGCAAAACTGCACTTTGTGCAGCATTTTTATATGTTATGTATGTATGCACGTATGTATATATATATATATATTTTTTTTTTGTCGAACCTTACAAAGTATATCGCTTAAAAATTGAACGATAGAGTAATTTTGAACATTTCAAAAATTATTGTGCCATGATTTTTACAATTTATCCCGTTTCCTTGTTACGAATACTGTTCGAATTTTGCACATCGGGTCGTCTTTGAACGGAAAAACTTTCGAAACTGGATTCTCTTTTTTTACACGATATCGGAGGGGATTGTTTTTCCGTAACAAGCATTAACAGCGAACGAAATCGATTTTTCGTTATCGTTCGAGGAAACCTATTCACTGATGTACCTTGAATTGCAAGCCTATTTAAGAAAAGTTTGCAGCAAACGTAACAAAGTTTCGTATCCAGTAGAACGAGTCGACTTTCGTTAAGCTTCTATACATACCGATTGTACTTTTCAGTAGTAACTGATTCTAGTTGAAGAAACTGTTTAAAATTGATCAAGCGATCGCTGCGTTCGATATAACAAAAAAGATAAAATATTTAGTGTCTCTTCATTGCCAGAGTAACACCGTTGGAATTTATGTTCCACGACAGAAGTACGATATCGCGAAAGATAAGTTAAGAGACAAAACTAAACGTGTTGTACCTAACTGGAGATGCCAGTATGAAAAGTAAACGCGACGAATAAAGTAATCGTTTCGTGTTCGTACCAAAGGCCAATTTGACTTCGAAGAACGTATCGAAGAGGATTTCGTAAACGTATTTACAAGTGAAAAAACGCTACGTATCAAAGGAAACTAGTACTGCAACGTTTGAACAGACAATGTAGAGATACAAAGATTAAGTAGTCTATTTTTCGTAACAACGACGACCGAGTCATTTAAGTACTTTGACAAGTACCGAAGATACACGCACGGGAGTACATTAGACGCAATGGCCTTCAGTCTTACAACATGAAATAAACCGAGATACGAGATACGAATAAATGCATGTTCCTGAACTAACATAGTATTCACATAGTATTCGATGTAAATCTCGTGTAAAAAAATAGGTACGCAAGAAAAATTTGCGTGAAAAAAAGTCAAAAGAACAATGTACAACGATGTTAAAAAACAGTATCAAAAGATGCGTCGACGAAAAAAAAAAAAGAAAAAAATAAGAAAAAAATCCACGAAAAACATCAAAAGGAAACCTTACAAATACATAACACCCTGCTTTTTCGAGAGAGGAAAAAAAGAAATATGTATATCGATCTTGACAGTCTGGAAAATATCCACAGCTTTGTTTTTTCTTTTCTCTTTAAATGCGTACTCTCTTCATTTGTAATATTTATAATATTTATATATATATCATTTTGTTTATGTATATTTATATTCATATTCATATTTATATCTATGTAATGTTGTTTATGACAGACGGTGCATTTATGTACAGTTTTAGTCACAATTCCTGACCCTCGAACCACTTTCAACCGAAAGAAGCGTTGAATGCTTGCTTTGGAATTTCAAGATCGAATCTAGACGAAGAATAATACTGATCTCTTTTCGAACGTTAAAAACAAGCACGGACGATCTAAGTCGAAACAATGTGAAAAAGAAGAAAAGCGAAAGGGTTGCTTCTCTCGTAAGCGAACGCGTTCGTTATCGTAGATTGCACTTGCATAGTTCAGCGGTAGAATTTGATGCTCTGTCGTATTGAACGGTGGACATTTCGAAATAGAGAAGACGTATATGTATAAACGAGCATACGAGCTTATTGTCCTGAATAGACTACGAACTTGGTAACTCTGAATCGCAAGTGACGTACGCGTCGAAATTTATCAAAAAGGATACGCGATCGATCGAAACACGGTTTACTTTTCTTCTACTTTTTTTCCCCATTGATTCGACGTTTCCATTATCGGATGAACAGGTATCGATTACAAGTTTCGTGAATTCCATAGACTCGAGATTCTCCGATTGATTTTTTCGATAAATTGTACTACGAAGAAGCGTAAGGCGCCTCGAACAGGAGGCAACTCAGTCTGACGACATAAACCGAGCCAGGAATGATCCAAGTTAGTGGCAAACTGTTAGCTGAGACATCTGGGAAAATCGTAAAAGTAGTCGAGGTAGAAGCCTGCGATGGAACTTTGTACACGAGGGCATCCAGGGCTCGGGGGAACAGTACGCGAATCCAACATACAGTGCTTCTAGTTAAATTAATTCTCATAGAAACCTGCGCAACCCTTTCGTGCGTTTTAATCGAGTATAGGCACCGTTTCCTTTCATTCTTCTTTCATTCGATCCAGTTTCTTCTTCTCCTCTAATGGCATCGCTTAGACACTCTAATCCTTACAACAATCGCTTACGATCTACTTAAAATTACAGTAGGTAATGAGAAGATTCCTATCGTGCGTAATGGGTTCATCATGAATAATTGTCGATTTGGCAGTATGGTAATTTTCTTGTCGCTCAGCGAAAAGGACGATGGTTAAAAATGATCAAAACGAATCTTCTATACGTTCTAACGAACTTCAGTCTGTTACTGTTCATTCTATTTCCTGAAATCGGATAAAAATGAAAACTTTGGAAAATGGAATTTATATTTTCCGTTCGGTTAAAAGGATTGATCAGTTTTTACGATCGTCCTTTAAGCATCTCTGCTGCATTCTCGACTTTTATTACCGAGACTCTCGCAACTCTTCTGTCCTCGATATTCTTAGTCGTAACCACGACGTAAGTACTTTTCGAACGCGTGCTCGATCGGTGTTTCTGACTCGTTCTCAGACGTTACAGCTTTACCACAGACATGGAAGCACTTTTCTTCGACGAATAGGAGAACATTAGTTTGAACTTTTTTTGTTTTGTTTCACGTATCTTTGTGCCGCAAGAAATAACGCGAGGCACACACGATCGAAACGACGATATCCTTCACTCGTTCCCTTACGTTTAAATTATCTAACTGTAAGCAACAACGATTTTCGAGTTTTCGAACGATCGAGTTGGATATGTTTCGGTGATCGAACGTTCGACTATGATCCCTTTCGAATCGTAGATCAATCTCCCGTTCGATCCTATTCGATTAACTCAGTTGTTGGAAAACGTCCAAGTTGCGATTCCCTGTTTTTAGTAAGTTTTCATTATTCTTTTTTTTTCTATTGGTTTTCCTTGTTTTAAACCGTAAAAGAAGTTTCGATAAAGAATATTTCTACAGAGATATGATTGTTTCTACGATTCTGAGCCGTAAACGGTTCTAAACGGCAGTCTTGTCCCGGTTCGTTTATTCGGGGTAAGTTCTTTTCTCTTTTTTTTTTTTGTTGGATACAATCGAGTGGAACGCGTACGCGATACGATCCGCCGTCGAATACGAAAGCTTTTCGTATATCTTTTGACTGCTGCGACACCACTGACTAAAGATACACTTGGCTAACTACACGGTAATCGCCTTTCTACTGTACCTTTCTCCTCGGAAAGGTATGGCTACGAATGGTACGCGTTATTCCCGGAATCATGATGTAGACTACATACTTACAAACTTACACGATTTTAGCGTCGTACTAGACGCGTCGCACTTTAGCACGTTCCCCTACGTCTCTCTCGTTTCTCTGTCGATCTCTTCTGTCCCTGGTCGAGTCTCTGTCCTCGTGAGTGTCGGGTTGTCAGTTGGCGTAATGATCGAAAGAACCCAAGTATTCCAAACTGGCACGATAGCAGAACTGATACTGGTCCTAGAAAAGGAAACACGATCGTTGTTATTCGTTCTTCTGTAAAAGGAAATTGAAAAGACAAGGGAGAACGTACCTCGGTCTGAACCATGGCTGGACGTTGCGTTCGCAATATTCTGACCGTTTGGAAGATGTCGACCACCCCTTCGTACTGCATACGTTCCAAAACGATGCTCAGCGTGATGAAGACACCCGTCCTACCAACGCCTGCGCTACAGTGCACGGTTATAGGACCGTCCTGACCGAACTGTTCCTTCGTTTTGTGCACCTGTCCGATAAAATCGATGAAACCGTCGCCGGATTTCGGTACACCCTGTTCCGGCCAATCGATGAACTGGAACTGCCTGACCGTGCGGCTCGCTCCGTCCCTAGCATCCGTCACTTTGAACTCACGCAGGATGTACTGAGGCATGTTGTACTCCGCGATCGGATCTACCACGAAACACTGATACCGAATCGACCTGTCG